TTCAGGTTTATGTGTGGATAGAAAAATGGCATTAGAATGACTTCTTAAGTGAAAACATAAAGTACATGATTTGGTTAACCAGCGCAATAGGAAAAAAGTGTTTGGTTTGCATCAGTTGCTGTTTTCCCTGAGACTGTCTGAGGCACAACACAACTTAAAGCACACATCACAGGTATTATGCATTTAATTTCTTCTAGTAGGAGCCAAGGTTGAATAACAAACTAAACCATCTGATGAATACCAAGCATGTGGAGTGTCAAACGGAGTGCATGTATGTCTTTGTTGTCTTCAGTCTATCTCTGGCATACACATAAACCACTTGTCCAAGCGGCCCTTCTTCCTCATTCCTCTGTCCCGTTGGTCCAGCAGACCGTCCATGTAGTGACCATACTCACTGATGGCATCTTCAACACGAGTGATGTACAGCCAGCTGATTATCACACCAAAGAACTATACAGAGATACAGAGACGGGCAGAGATTAAGTGGGAGCAAAGGTAAGATCACTGTGGGTTCTTCTCATTAGTAACTTCTCACTAATGTCCTCTTCATGTCTGAGCTTCTCTAACAAAAATGGCAAACCTTTGTTTTTTGTATTATAATTCTCAGTATGTGCAACCGTCACTCTAACCATACAGCAGAGTGACTATAGAAATAAGAAAAAAAGAATACCTCGATTTATCCCCAAATTACAGTCAACAAATACAGCGTTCTCAGCATGCTTCCTCTTACATAAAACAGACATATACCCGAACATCAATAAACAAATAAAGATTTAAATAATACACCACCAATGCTTTATTTATGTTTTGCATCTGTACTCCTCTTGTTCATATTTCATTATGTCATATTTCAGGTTATGAAGGGATTATTAAATAATTTAGAAGTTGCTTTTTGTTTATTTTTGGTCAAAATGTCTTCTGACATTGCAGTTCAAAATGCATTTGTTTGGATTTTTTGTGGGATTTTTTTTACTACATAGTAATGAAGCATCAACTGCAGATTTCTACCATACTTGACAACATATTTCTGTCATGGTCTTGTGCAACCTCACACAGAGTGGAAAAGAGCTTTCAACCGAGATGTCTTTATCAATGGGAGGGGTAAGATTGATTTTTGGACCACCTGAGGAACCAGGAAAATAAAGCAAATCTGAGGCACCAGGATGTGGACTGGACAATTTACTTGGTAGATCTGCAGTCTGTTTCTAAAACAGCCCATCCATAGTGCTTATTACAGCTAAGCTCAGACAAAATATATTTAAAGTTGTCGAATTGAAGTTTTGTATAAGTTTGAAAAATAGCAGACATGTTTTGAAAAAATGTATTCATCTATTTAATACTCAGTCCTGTTCATAAAAGGAAAAGGAAAAGTCATTGTGTATGGTCAGAAAAATACAAGAAAGATTACATAGTGCAGAGTGTGGTTTTTAAATATGTTACAGTAGCTCCACATCCGAATGTTTTAGTTATAATGCTTGTTTTGATCTCAGATGCACAATTTTAACGCCAGATCAGTGGGTCAATGAATAAAAAAAATAATCTAAATGCAAATCACTCCAAAATTAAATGAAGTGTTATGTGGGTTTGGTTAAATTTTTTCCACGAGTGATGCAGCAGTGCTGACAAATGTGTGCGAGAGAATGAAATTTACATTTTTTCTCATTTAGTCATCTAAACTGTAGGACAGGCTGCTGAATATGGATAAATGCTTCATTCAACTGCTCTAAATATTCACAGATTTGGCAGGTGCTAGTACATGCTGCACTCTGAAAGTCACACCAACACAAACTCTGCAGTGCTGATAAATAATGACAGGTTACTTAAAGTGGACACAAACTGGATTTAAAGCCCCCACATTCTGCAATGTAAACTTGGCAGTTTGTTTTTCATTACATGAGCTTTAACGTTAGAAATATTGATAGCACTCCTACCAGGTTTTTGACAAGTCTTTTTTTTCAATGCTTGCTTTTGCGTTTTTGAAAAAAATGTGTCACACACTAAAGGGGATGCAAATACGGAAACCTTTTTGAAAATTTGTGATTGATTTAGTTTTATGACTAAAACTGTGTTCATGCAGAGGGGCAGGAGTGTGAAACTATTTGTTTTGTCCAGATATAATATTATGTTTATGCATATAAAAATGAGTCCCCATATAGTTCAATAGCAAATATAGTTCTCTATGCATTTTATTTGTGTGTTATCCTCTCAATGCCCATTTTCAGCTAGGAATGTGGGTATTGTCTAAAGAATGAGTGAGGTTTACATTTGGGTGCTGAAAGGCTTTTTCTGTTTTGCACTCATAAGCAGCTCCATGACAGGCTTTTTTAAATCCACCAGGCAACAAATGTGTGTAAAAGAGCCTATTTCCCCTCCTGGAGTTTATTCTCTGCAGAGCAAGTAAAGGAAGCCTGCTGTGCATAACATGCACTTTTCTATGTGGACACATTGTTGGTTGAAAATAATGTTGAAGATTGAGCATCTTGCTATAAAGCTATTCAAACAGGTTTTCACACAGGAGGCAACAAAAGTTGTTTTTGGAGCCCAAACATTTCAGGGCTCCAGTACATTTCACTGACCGATCGCACCTCAGTGCTCATCTGACCTGACTTTGCTGTGTCAGCGTTTTCCCCATACCATAGTACAAAAACATATACAGAAATGGTATCACAATGACTATAAAACTCCCTGAAGCACATTGGAATATGACAAAAAGCTCCCTGGAGCTCAGTATGTAGGCTTTGCTGTACCTGTGGCAGGAGGATCCCCAACAATAGCCCAGCCATAGTCTTATAGTTGTCCATCAGCCAGATGAAGAATGCATCAGTGCAGCCTCTAATGTGGATGGTATCCACCAAATCCAGTCGCTGAGAGAGAGAAAATATTTCAATTAACAACTCTCAAAACTGCATAAAAGTTAAAGGCTGCATTCTTTTCTCTCTTACAGAATCAAGTTAGTATCCATTACTCAAAGAAGCTGTCTCTTAAATGATTCTCATCTGTATGTCAATGCAGATAAGTACCAAAATGGATATGTTTTCTCTCTTTCTATCTTAAAATGATATTTTCCTTTGTTCAGACTTACAGATTTTTCCAGCACCTTGTACCCACAGAAAGTGTTTACTACTTCATTTGGCTGTGGGAAAGAAAAACAGAGGATTAGCAAAGTAAAAGGGAGCTTAGACTATCCTCCACTATATGGGAGTCATTTTCATGCAATGTGTGTTATAAGTAATAACGCTGATGATGAGAAACAAACGTCAAGAGCATCCATCACACATATTTGTTTTGCTATCCATAAAATGTGAAAACATGACAAACAGGTAGAGAAATCTGAGCTTGTGATTTTCCATATTCACATACAGCATACAAAAATAAAAGGAGATCTAAAGTTTCTATGTTTCCCATTCAAGACAGTTAAAAGTTAATTGAAAATAAAATGTTACATTTCAAACAAATTACTCAGATTTCTTCCATTTTTCCAACTTGAAGATCAGAATCCATTTTCTACATGTTCTTTCTTACATCAGTGGCAGCTCAACTGTAACGGACAGGATTCTTGAGTAAAGCTTGAATAAATTATGAATACTATAGATTTAGAGGGGAAAAAATAACTTGCTGTACTAAAAACTACTGTTAAACCTTCTGAAAAAAAGGAGTTCAAACATTGTAATTGTAATAGCAAGGACTGAAAAAAAATAAAAGAGTCAAGCACAAAGATGATGAAAGTTTCACATTTTTGTTTTTGTAGGTGTGTTCCATGGGTTGGTGAAACCAAGTCTGGTTTCTGGTGTGTCAAGTCAAAGATTTACAATTAGATTGAACAGATTACATATTTTAGCCAGTGTGACGGCACATCAATCTTATTGTTCAGGGCTTAACAGACACTTTACAATGAGAGCAGAAATAATAGTGTTCATTATTGTGACAGCGTTACAAATGTTAGCATTCAGTTAAACCTGTTTGCACATGTAATAAATTTGTCAGTATGTGGTGTCAGAACATCAACAACTATTCAATCATCAGAAAGTTTACTGATATCTTATTTTTCTCTTTCAACACTACTGGTTCTCATTTCAAAGGCTACAATTTAACAGATTGCAGCAAGGTGTCGATAATTAAACTGTCCATGGTTAACTTGATATCAAGCAGCAAAAAAGCAGAGGCACAAAAAGCAGATTGAACCACACAAACATGCAGTTTCATCTGAAATAGACCGTCACAGACAACATATGCTTTCAGTTTTCATTTGAAGCACGAACTCGACAACACCTTCTGTGGGGACCGCAGGTCCTCATGCATTTGGGATCTTCCAGTGTTCTTTTTCTAGGTCAGTGCTCTCCATTTAACATCTAGTATTTTAGTATATGTCTTGGATTTCCACCAACATATGGTGCAGAAAAAAGGTCTTAAAACAAGCACATGATGACCAGGCTGCACGTTTCTGAGAGCATCATACCAGTGAAACTTTTACCAAAAGATTTAACCATAGAAATATTAGCAGGCCCAGTGTTAGTGTTTGTAGTAGTATTAATAATTGCGAGATTTACCTTATTAGTGATACAGCAGGTGTACGGCACTCCGCAGGCCAGTGGACCAGGTGCAGAACAGTTGTGGTACATGTTTACCTCCCAGTCTTGGAACTCTCGACCTCCACAACACTGAAACTGCCAAAGACAAGAAGGATAGCAGAAATTAAAGAGAAATGAAGAGAAAAAAATTACCCCAAAAAAAATTGAGAGGGAAGAGTTTACCAGATAAATAAGAGATGGAAGGAGAGAGACGCAATTATGCATGCACATTTTGTTTGTCATTGTGTGTCTGTTTGAGTGGGCCTCTGTGCACTGTGCAGGTGGTGCCTTGACTGTGTAATATACGTCACATTATGATACATAAGATTTGAATATTTTCTTTACCATTTTTACAAATCAATCAACAGCCAAACATAAACCAAGAGGTCCTCAAAGCTTTAAAATGCAGTGTTTGGTTAGAAATCCGATACAATACTCAGTTAACTTAGTATTGCATTAATATAATATCATCACAACCAGTTATTACCTAAATTGCCATTTATCCATAATATTTTACCCATAAGAAAATACATCTTGATAAAAAAAGTTTTTTTTTTTTTTAACCAAGATGTCTTCAACATCAGTAAAAAAGCTCTCAAATTCCTTCTCTTCCTGTGGGAGGCCTCTGCAAACTTATATGTTCTACATATATCCAGCATTTGAAAGCACCAGAATGACATGCTCCCTCTCAGATCAATAAGACTTCCAGCCTCAAACAATAAAGTGATACCCAGCAACGACCTGTTGTTGGTTCTAGGACACAAAATAATTTGATAGCAACCAATTCCTTTTTTTTATTGCCAAGTCTTGTAGCCATTACTTGCAAACCCTTGGGAAAAACTAAACATCTTTACGTCACTGGGAAAATAAATGACTTAAATAAAACATCTAAAGAAAGATAATTACCTCTGCCAAGGAGGTGGTTGTTTGGGTCGACCGAAAGAAAGCAGGAGTATCTTTCACCATGCGGGTCTGCTTATGTGACAGCTAAGACAGCTACTTTGGCAGCAGCAATTTCCTCAAAGTTAGTTTCGAGAACTTTGGCAGGTATAAATAAATGATTGTTTTTTCCTTCCATGGCCTGTCTTCTTGCAGACTAATCCAAAGAAACATTTAAAATATGCAATTCCATATTCATGTTGCATTTCAAATAAGTGTGTTCCCAGTTCCATCATTCATATCCGATTGAGAGTTCAACTACCATCAAATACAGACAATTAAATTTCATTATACCACTGGTGATATACTTTTCTCTCCAAGATTCAGATAAATAATTATGATACAGCTGTCTATGTAATTATAAACAGCAAAACATGCAGCATGAGAAAAGTTCCTTGAAATTACACAGTAGAAGTGATACTTTTTGGAAATTGAAAGCTTTTGGATATTTCGAAAAAAGAAACACTGCATCAATAGATCGCACACACAGAGATGAATTACATCAAGCATCTAACATTTCTATTCATCACCAACTTTTTTTCAATAGCTGCCTCAGAGCATAAACAGTGACATAAAAACTTGAGTGCTGCATTTTAGTTCAGCTTGTTCGTCACAGTAAAAAATATATTTTCAATAGGCACAATGTGGCACATAGAACTGAGAAGTTAATCAATAAATATGAGGACGCTCTGTGCCAAACAACATGATGTGTTGATGTGATGCCTGTTTGCCAAGACGTTACTTCCCCTTGCCTTGGCCGTGAATCCAGAAAACCGCTTTCGACACTGGATTAAGACCAAGAAACAGATGGCATAATTACAACCTCAGAAACAATACCAGTCTGCGCTGAGCTACCAATTGAGCTGAGGCAGTACATCCCACCTTTTGAAGATTGAGGACCCACTCACTGACATACATATGCTCAGTAGAGCCCAAGCTATAAAGGCTCTCAGATGGTAGAAACCCATGTAGTTATGACAAACAACAGCAACTTGTTTAGTGATGTCAAATTCAAATCAAATTGTTGAAACAAACTTGTTGCATTTCAGTCAACATTTTCTGTTGGATCTGGGACCAGGATTTGGCTTAGCCGATGCCACGAATAACCTTTCATTTTCTTCTCAAGATCTGCTTCCCTGTCATCATGCTCAAGGAAGAATGACAAACATTCTATAGAAGCCCATTAGTTGGAGTGAAAAAGCAGACTGATTTTCAAGCCAACTGCCCAACTGAATGATAACCTGCTGTTCACTGGCATACAGGCTGACTGTGAGTAACCGTGTGGGCTACTGGCTTAGCTCAAAGCGTGGGCCATCTTGTGTTCCCAACCTGCACTTAGAATTGAGTGGCAACAATGAAGCAGAACAGGAACATATGATTATAGGTTAGAATAGAAGCCGAGCTCCTGTTCACCATCTAACTGGGGGCATATATGTATTATTCCACAGTGCTACAGTGTCATTAACACATATGCAGAAGGCAACTCGGTTCACACCATAACCTCATAACTTGCCTCTCTAACATTCACAGAGTGGGAGCACATAACATGGACTTAATGTCTACACAGCTGATTCTTTAGAACCTGGGTAAGCAGCGCTTATAAAAACCAAAGCAACTATCTGAAGTAAAAAGAGTGATACTGTAGAGAAAATGGTCACAGATGAAAAGTGAATGCAACTCGGAAAAAACATCAACACAGTTCGAGCACTGACTATCGACTGTTAGACAGTTTGCAGAGTAGTCTTGTCAAAGCACTGAAGTGGTGCAAGTAAGAAAGGCCAATTAAAAATGACCACCCATCTGTTCCATTCTTTGTGTTGGCATAAAATACTAGTGGCTGGGAGAGACTTTTTACAGACTTCTACCAGTTTTTGTTCTTCAATCAATCAAGGTATGAAAAACGATACAATTTATTCAATGAGATGCCATCTGTCTTTCCCTGTAAAGCAGAGCCAGCAGGTGTTGGTCTCCTCCCCTCCACCCACTGTGCACCTCCACCACCTTTACTCTGTCAGAAAAAGCTGAGATATATTGAATATTTTCAGAAAACTAATCACACTTAAAAAGCAAATTCATGCCTGAACTTATTAAGAAAGGTAAAGAAAGCATGTCAAAACAAACATATAATGTTCCTATGTAAACACTTAATATCCAGAACATCAATCAAACAGTGGCATTTAACTGAATATGGACAGCAGTACAAGCAGTAAGGAAGGCACATTATACTCCAGACCACTTTTAATGACCGTCCGGAGGCGGTCGCTGTTGGATAGCCTCATAATTTAACAGCAGTGAAAGGTGATTCCATCACAGTTGCCTTCTTAATTTGCAAGCAGTACACAGCAACCACTTTTCCTCAAAGTTGCTCCAACATTGAGTTGACCGATTATGTGTCGATAGTGTAGTAGTGAGTTCAGTGTTCCTAAAGGAAATGGGAGGATAATATAACATTTATGTGAAAATTTGTCTTTTAGCTGCCTTCTTGTTGCCATTTCAAAAGGTGGAAAAAAAACAACCAACAAACAAAAATTCAGAGCACATCAGACGTATCAAATTTGACCATATCTTAGGTTTTTAAGTTCACATTAAACTTTAGTAAAAGTCTATAAAAATATTGACCATGCAAAAGAATTTCCTGAACCCTAAGTGACCAAAAACTGCATTTGGAGGAGAGCAATGGTTCCAAATGCTTAAAGAAATCAATTTGCCATTATCAAAATATATGCGTTTCTGTGACGGTTGCAGTGCCTTCTCCACGCAGCAACAAACTTAACTCCTCACCTCTTAATGACTGTAATTTCAGCGCTCTCTGCACTAAGGGATCATTTCACATATACTGATAACATCAAAAAAGACGAAGACAAAATGTTATTTTATATGATGATACTGCAGTTATGAAATGAGTAACTAGTGGTCACAATTTTTTTGTTCATTTACTCTAACCGGAAATTACAAAAATGTTGAAAGTTTTATGGTTAACGCCCCTTTCTTGTAGGACAACTTATATCCATGCCATGTATGTTATATGAGACTCCAATCCCAGCAAATTGACTTCACTTGCTTTTTTTTCTTCTAAAGGCATAACTATGCAACAAGACAGTAGCTTGTAACGATGTGAAGGGCTCTGGGTGCCTTGTTTAAAAGTATGTGTGAAAAATTAAGGGTTCCATTTGTTCACACAGAGTTTATGAGTAATATACCAGACTGGTAGTGGGTGGAATAAAATGGAAATCAAATGTGCGCTAGCAAAAAGCCCCCGATCACCCCGCAAAAAAGTCAGGGGTTGTTCTTTTTGAATGAAATAGCAAACCATTTTACAACATCCAGTTAATGAGAGGTTTCTCTCTAGTTTCATACACCAATTACAGCACAGGTGAAAGTCAAAGGGCAACAGAAACCACATGGAAAACAGTGTGTATCCTGCTCACAGCTCCATTTAAAGACAGGACACGTCCGGAAAAACAAAACACAACTATCCTTTTCAAAATCAAGCACAAAATAAACTGGATGAAAGGAGTTTTATCGCAGACTCAGAAGAATTTCTACTCCAGTAAGAAATGCACAAAACAGTGGGTACAGATTTTTTCCTTTTTACTTTCTATTGATCCACGCTCTGTGCTCAAAGGCCATCAGTTTTATTCCTGCAGACAGCTCTACTACAGTTCAATTTCCCAACCCTGGTTTAATCTTTACCAGCTCTTCTGTCTTTGTGTCCTCCTTGACAAGAGTTGTCCGTTGCTCATTTCCTTCTTTATTCTTCACACATAAGTTCAGAATCACAATGCTTAAAAATTTATAGCATGTTTGAAATAACGGGCTAACCAAAAGTGCTTTCCACTTTTTACACATCGTATGTATCTATACCTTCTTCCAGTTATTTTATCTGCTTAAACATGGAAAAAAAAAAACTTTTTCCTGGCTTACAAAATTAATGTAGTTCAGCACATGGCTCGTGAAACAGTAACATGGTTATTGTATCTTTTTTGTATTGAAGTGGTACTATATAATTATGAGGTAAACATTTAAACTGAGGTAGAGGGGAATGGATGGAGTTATGTGACAGAGATTTCAATATTTCTTTATCCAAAGTTTCTTCGACAATTGTTAACAAACCTCCACTTTTAAATTGGCCAAATCTACATTGTGGATAAGGTTAGGAATGAAAAATAATACAAACACATAGATTATCTAATATACTTACACACATTTGGTTATAGGATGGTGTCACATCTTAAAAACAGGTAGATGACAACACTCTCATTTCATAATGTCTTCTGCAATTATACTGAAATGTGAGTTTTTCCTGGATACATTCCTTTTACATGGATTTTTCTTTCTTGTGAGCCTGGACTCCTGGGGCATTGTTTGGTTTCTGGTACCAGAGTCTAAGAATTGGTTTCCCTGCCAACTGCAGCTTACGACATAGGGCTTCCATAGTTCATACCCAAAGATGATTGATCAGATGAAGTTTTTACAGGATTTCAATACCACACCACTGCATTGGACTGCATATTGTCTTGCAACACAACTGAGGCAAAACTTTTGCACAATATAAAACAAGTTTTTCAATACCACAACTATCACCACTATGAATTATCTTTTAATTTGTCCATTCAATTATTGAAATGTCTCTGTGTTATTGGCACCACATAAAGAAACTCCATCTCCTTGTGATGCTCTGTGAAGGAAAATGGTCAATTATAGTCAGAAAAACAGCTGTGGTCAAGCCAAAAAGGGGAAGCAGCAGTATCCAACAACAATATCACACGCCATATGACTAATAAATCATTCCAGAGAGTTTCAAGCCCACCTTCTGCCTGATGGATGGACTGCTGCACTGACTAAAGTGATAAATCAGGACTTGCAAAGAGTCAATAACAGATTGAGTTACAAGAGTTACAACAGGTACAAGATTCCAACAAATCTCACAGAGCACTATAAGTGTTATCCATACAGTGTACTCAGAGAAATAGTAAAGTTTTTATTTTCAAAATAAGAGTCATCATAGACAACTTGGCCACAAGCTAAAATCCATTTGCAAATTAGGGACAGCTCATTCTCATGCAACCAAAACCCTGACCTGCCAGATACACACACACACACGATCTGGCAGGCTTATGCTCATATGTCTACTGCAGGCACTTTTGTCACTGGACAGGGGTAAGTGTGAGCATGCCGACAGGTGTTTGGCATCACAGCTCTACAGTGGGCATGATGTGATGCATCATGTACTGTGACATTCATCATTGTGGGCATGTTTTTAGCAGAGTGTTTACCACTTTTATTGCTTTGACAAGCTTTTACTGCTGTGCACGTCCTTTTATATTAATCAATTCCAATCACATACAACATGGTTCTCTCTATCGCGCTCTCTCTCTCTCTATATATATATATAAAAATTCAATTCTCTCAAAATAACGTTTTTATGGACGATTGCCTTGCAGAACAGAGGAAATTACATGTCTATCACAATATCTGACTGACGTTGGTTTCAGCAGGGTAAATTGTTAATGAGGTGTGCTTCATTTTTCAGCCATGTGCTGATGGAGACATGAAGACTTCTGAAGTTGCAATGTGTTTGAAGTTGCACAAGTTTCTTCTGATGAAGAAAATGGAAAAATGCAGTGTTATGCAATAAGATCCAGCAGTAGACAATATTTATCACTGTATCGATTAATTATGTAATGTATTTGTGGCTGTCTTCCATAGTGTTGAACACAGAAGGAGGGATTTTTTGTAGAATAAAAGGTCAAATCTCCATCAGAATACCAAAGCACAGTGAACAGAAAGGTCAGCCTGAGACAAACTCCCAGGATACAACACAACCTCCATCATTACACTGATAAATGTTGATTAATACCGGTTTAAATTCAAGGACATAAATATGCTTCATGTCCAGTTGCTGACATTCAGAAAATGTTGGAATTTTGAGCAGAGCATTTATGGTAACAAAGAGCTGGTATTTTGGGTGAACTCTTCATGGCAACATGCAAAAAAAACAAATAAACTTGAATCCATTAAAAAAATACATTAATTTAATTGGAAAAATCCTACTTCTTCCCAAAAGCATTAAAATATACAATTTGTCTAGTTCTGATCCATTTGTAAAAGTTGTGACATTAAATGCAACCTTAAATGTGAAATAACCAGTTACTCAAACTGTGACGATATGTGGAAAGTTGAAACCTTTTTTACATGCATCTAAAATCTGACCACTTCCAAAGTGGAAAGACTGTAATTGAGCTCTTCAGAGTCACCACTATGCATCTTCTCTCATACAGCCTCAAACACTTTCACGCTCTCATAAAGCACACAGGGATGTTGTGCCTGGAGACAGCAGACCTAAAACTGAGTAAAAAGTGCCTGGCTTTTGTTTTTTTTATTAGTGCGAGAGCTGGAAAATGGCTTCCAGCTAAATTCAGTTGGCAGTCTTCAGGACGTACACCATCAATGAAAATGCATCATGACAAATTCCTGTTTAACGGTCATGTATGGCACTGAATCAGTTTTATATGTGCACATATACTTTTCTGCAACCATAAACTATTCAGCAAAAAGAGAAAACAATAAAGAGCTATTGCCTGCATCAGGACCAGCTGATTTTTGCTCACTTGTCACTGGAAAGACATTATCAGCTGCGGTAACAAAGGCTGTAAATGTCGACATCATATATATTTGGCAGCATGCACATAAAACTAAACTGAGCAAAAAAATATGTACTGAGAAGTAGTTGTGGTTACATCACATTGACTTTATGTAGTAGATGGTTTTATCGAAAGCATCTTCCAAGGGGGGAGGCCAACATGGGGTTCAATATGTATCCCAAAGGAACTTTGGGTGATGAAGTGAAGAATGTGTGAGCATAAACCTAACATTTTAAAGATGGCTGCTCTTTGTCCTAAGTTGTAGCTACTGCTGGTTGTATTTTCAACAATAGTGGTTGTGTTAAAAACCTTTGTTGCATTAAGGGGTATTAATGACAGTAGGTGCCTCTGCAGGATTTTTAGAGGTGATACCAAAGTTGTTACAGTATCATTTGAAAAAGGTTATCACACCAATATTTCTAACTTGATATAAGGTTAACATCTCGAGATGGTGACGTCATACTGAACATACACCTGGCGTCAAATTTTAAAGGGACGTGCTCAAGCTAGTCCTGATTAGATTAGATCAACTTTACTGATACCGCAGTGGGGGAACTCAGTTGGTATTAATTAGTTTATTCTGCTACGGACACTGCTATAAACGGATAATAATGGATTTTATTTTTCTTGTAGTCAACACAATTGTTTGGACACAGACTATAACTGCTCTGACTTATTCTAAATACCTCATTTTTAAAATGATTGTGTTGTATTAGGTGGCCCTTTTACACTTGACATTCCATGGGTACAATTCATTTAACCACATGTGAATTGTAGCTCTGTCAGCACTTGCAGACAATATCCTAAAATATCCAACTAAAGTGTTATTTTGTTCATAGTTTTATTTTGTAATGGAGAGGTGAAAAGTGAGCTTAATCTTTACTATAAACATTTGTTACAAACACATGTAGTGTTATATTGAGCTTGGTTGTGGTCCTTTTTTCTTGTCTTTCCACCAGCCTGCTTCTTCTATCACACAGGGTTACAGCTCTGTGACAACACCCTATTACTTTGATGGAGTGTTGTCCATCTCTGTATCCTTGGAATTTTTTTAAAAGCTCATTTGCTCTCTGTCAACATGAGAATATATGTACGCAAATGAACATGACATTCGAACAGAACATTGGTACTGATTTGCTGTTGAGATTAAGATTTATTTTCTTAGCCTTGCTGAGTCGCGCTTGTACTTATCACACACCAGACAGAGGAGAGAGGAGAATAGTTTTTGCTCAGACATAAATGGATGTGGTTTTTAAATGGCTGGATATCTACATAAATTGCATCATTTAATCCGGCCTTTATCTTGCACCAGTGGTGTAGGTGCTGGTCATACGCCCTTATCACTGAAGTCCAGCAGCCTGAGGGATCACCTGGCTTCTCTCATGTGCCAGTCACTGGAGTTTGTTTTAGGCTTCTGTTTAGTTTAAATGCATGATTACAGAGTTTCTTGGAACTGAATATCCAAATGGAGAATACAATCTGTGAAGGAGACTTCCAGTCTCACACTGTGTGTGGAAGGATCAGGTGCATGGTGATGGCTCTGACCTGTTTTGATCATTTTGGCACACACAGTGAATATTAAGGTACGTTGTTGATACTGCTTTCCCCAACAAACACAAACTCATACTTGTAAAGATGAACCTGTTTGTAGGGTCTCATCAAATATTTAAGAACTCTGTGTTTAAAATCTTGTGATTCGATGGCAGAGATGTTAGCTGGCAAATGAAGTATGCACATGACTTTACCTTCTTCTGAACAAAGTCCATGATGTTTTTGAAGTCCAGATCATCATAATAATTCACTATTCCTCTTCGAACGTTCTTGTTAAGTAATTCCACGGTCTGCAAGAGTGGAAAAATAATCCATTAGTACATGTTAATAGGTTGGAGGAGGTCATATTGCCACACATTTGTTCACTCTCCATAACGCAGCTGATCTACGATCAGGCAGATGTGGAGAGGAAATGCTCCGATTAGTGAAGGTGACTGACCCACCAAACTGGAATATCAAAGTGTGCGACTATGGCCCCTCACATCTGTGAGTGACAATTTGGTGCAGGTTACCGAATGGAAACCGAGAACCTTCATTGAGAGCTTATATTTCACACTTATTTAGTCAGACTCACTAATAACTAACGTGTTTGTCAATGAGACCAACTCTTAATTACAGTTTCAAAAGGCTTCAGCTTTTTCCTCTTCAATATTTTTTTTTTTGTAGAATACAGCAGAATTTCTAAAGCCTGTACAGATAATGCAGTCCCGACGTCCCTCTGCATTTACAGTTCACAGCAGGAGATTCGCTGATGGAGAAGAACTATCACAGCTGGAAATAGTACATCTGGGTATGGAACAAAAGTTGCATGACACAACGCAAAAAGATCTCAATGGTAATGGCTGTACTTTGTTCACAGCAGGTTGAGAAATGCACAAGGCTCTCTGATGACTGAATATATATATATATATATATATATATGTGTGTGTGAATGAGAGCACTGGGTGAAGGTAATGCAACACTCAGGACAGAAGAAGAACGCCTGAAGTTGCAAACCTTATTTCGAACATTCCACTCATAATTTTCCTTAAATTTGCCGCTCTATCAGGCTTTAGTGCACACAGCTTAGCAAATAGCTGGCAGGGTAATTTCCACAAGCTGTAGAGCGAAGATTGTTGACATTTACTTTCTCATGTACAGCAGCACTACTGTGGAAGTTGTAAGAGTGGCTTATTGTGGACCATTACCGCTCCATTGTGACTGTTTTCTCTGCTCGTGATAATTAGCTGCGACTGCTCCTGTTGAGAGCACCGTTGAGATGTAAGTGACTGAAAGCTTCACTTAATTTCTTTACTTCTTGTCTTGAACATAACAGTCCTTTATAGTGAATCGCCATGGGTACAGAAGCCACACGACATTTAAAAACACACAACATTGTGCAGATCTAGACAAATGGGAGTGTGGAGTCTACTCAAATGTTTTCTTCATTACTGTAGGTTACAAAAAACTACCACTAACACATTAACTGTGCGGCCATTAGTCTTTCTTTTGATGAAATAAAATGGAAAAATTCATTAATACTTTTTTTTTTTTATGGAAAAATTCAGCAACATTAAAATAATGAATAATGCAAGATAAGCCATGTGAAGGGGAGGGGGAATCAGCACTGGAGCAAATTATAGCTGTCAGGGTATAACCAAGGCAGGTGCTCCATAAAACAACAACAATGCCCCCTCACAATCACATCCACAGATAATTTAGGGTTACCAAAAGCACATAATCATATTAGCAAAACTTGTGTCTCGTTCTATATTTTAGTAACAATATGATTTGCAACATTTGACCAAATCCATTTTGCATTATCCTCCAAGCGGAATGGAGCCCTCATTAACACTCATGTGCTGTCCTAGTTTAAGATTAAATGGCTATTTGACATTGGTAATGCACATTCTGGTATTTAGATTTAAAAGGTTTTTGTCCACTGCCTGCCCCTCATGTCCACTGTATAAAGTAGAAGATAACAGGAGAATTTGATTTGTACAAACCAACATCGCTCATATCCAATTTACATGCTATAATTTTTGTGTTTGAACCACTGAATGATGCTACAAAGAAAAAGGTAGATTGAGTTCATTTCTACAAATGACTTAATTTTAAACTGAACAAAGCATAAACAGGAAATAAAGAAATGTATTCTGCCACACCAGCAGCCTTTTCAAATAAATAGTTTCTCCTCTATTGGATGCTGGTACTCTCATTTGTCTGGCCATTGATGATTTTATACCCTCACCAATTCTGAATTGAAGCATCTTCCGAAGTTAGGGGTGCATACAAGCGAGCGATAATTTTAGTATGTGCAGGACAACAACTGGATTTATTGCAGGCAAGGAAATTAGATCAAAAACTGAAGAGAGAGATAGTACTCAACACAAAAGGAGAAGTGAAAAGAAAGGAGGATATTAAAGATGCAAGAGACAAAGAGGAAGAGACAGAAAAAAAGCAGGACATACAGATGTAAAAAAAAGATAATTTGCCAATTTTAAACTGACCAAATCTGAATATGTCTCTGTGTTACGCAGTTGGTCAAGAATGATTGATTTAGAATATCTAAACATTGCAGGTATCTGGTTTTCTTCCAACACTCAGACACATAATGTCTAATCCAATGTTACCTTATCATTTAGTAAATTCACAGTAAGTTAAAATACAAGTGCTTGGTATAAGAAGAAAAGCTTTACTCCTACAGTTTTATTTTTTACCTGCTGGGGTAAGAGGACGTAAAGGTGTAAGCTCACCTGGTTACGAAACACCAGTGCCAACACCCCTCCAAGCAGCTCCAGGATCAGACACACCGTCAGGGTGTACATAAACTGTGACACAACAGACACGAGAATAAATTTAATAAACAGGTCCAGCAAATGTAGTCAATGTAGTTCGGGGAGTGGGGGCTTGAACAGCTTGCAGAGCCATGGCAGCAGAGTTCCACAGGAAAGACATGCTCAAACTGGAGAGAGTATGTACCTCCAGGCTGATAGAAAGGCCTGACCAACCGCAATTGTGCGGCTTTTAACATAACAATGTTTACAGCAGCATCATTCAAACCAACCTCCAGCTAAAGTTTGTTGTAGTGAAACTGAATTAGCAAATGGTCAATTTCCTCCTTCCTAGGGGAATTAAGTCAAACATCGTTTTTTTTTTTTTAAACTTGTTTGGCACAAAAGTGACCCAATACACACAGAGATCTTGACCATTCTACCATTAAATACAGATGTTGTAAAATCCATACGTTTCATGTCCACAATGAGCTGAAGTAAACTGACAATAGTGACTTGCAGACTAACACAACAGAAACATTATTTTTTCATTAACTGTGTCATTATTCTAACCAGTGAAGCAATAGAAGTCTAGAGACCAAACAACAAATGTACCCCACACTCACCACTTTCAACAGTTTTAGATTATCCCTCAGTGAAGCCAGGACTCCAACGAGTGAAACAATGAACATAACTATGCCCAGTAGGATCAGGATTAGAGCCGGGGCCAAAAACATTCCCTCGAGTGTCTTGTAGCGTTGTCTCTCCACCTCAGCATAAATGCCGATGGCCAGGATAAATCCACCTATTAACTGGAAACAGAAAGGAGAGGCAGTTAGAGGGAAATATTCAGCTGATTGAACTTGCAGGGGAAAAGTATTCATAAAATCTAAGCAGCTTAATCTATGAACACATTAAACAGTGAGTGGACCCAAGTCTGATTATACTCTCATTAAGATGCAACAGCTGGAACGATGGTGACGCATTGGTGGCATCACCAGATTCAACAGACACATTAGCTTAGCAAATAACGAGTAATATACACAGACAAGGGTTTTAATACACAATAAAAAACAGTAGTAGTTATATTTTATCAGTCATGACCATTTTTGATATAAAATCGTTGTGCTGACTTAACAAATATTTCTAACACTTGAAAATAATACAGAAAATGCCCCTTTTTGCACTTTGTTTGTTCCCACTAGTAAAACTTCTCATTTAGAGAAAAGCAGCAAAGCTTTAAAAGGAGGTCAATGTTAGTTTGTTCATCCATGTGGCATAGCCTGGTTTCATAACACATAAAAAAGCTTTGCGATTAGAAAAATCTGTTTATTGGTCATTGCTAATAGAGGAAAAATTAAATTTAGTAACTAGGCTAGTAACCTTGCATAGGGCTTACTATTTCTTGAAGTAAATTGTATCGTTTTTTAATCACACAACATGTCCAATTATACTCTGAGATGTTATGTTGTTAGAAAATGATGAAATATCCGATTCTGGCTCTGACTTAAACCTTTTAATTGAGCCACCAGCTGAGGTTTCCAAACCATCTGCTGCATTCTATTCCAACTAGACCATTTAAGCATGTTTTACTTCTTAACAGTACCTCCATATTGGATCAGATGAAACTACCACCAGCCTTTTTTAATAACCTTTGTTAAACCAAAAATTGGTAGAGTACCCAACTCTTTGTACTTAAAATTTCAAATACTCAACTGTACTCATAAGGACTGCCAACTTTCAAGTATCATGTAGTCCTCCATTTGCCCCTCCACCATTTATAACTACCACTTCAAAAATTAAGAATGACAAACAACATGCCAGAGAGGAAGAGGACATGAGTGTCACGAAGAGAGGAAGGAAAGAAGAGAAGTGTTCAACATAAGTACTCCAGCGCGCCAAAGATCCAGTGATGTTTATAATCAACCATGATGTCCTCTCCTTACATGTCCCTGCTTTCCGTTTGTTATGGTGTCCTGCTGCTGGCTGACTCACCACAAACTCACTTTCATTCAGCCAAAAGGAAAGGAGGGCAGATACACAGCAACAAAAAAAAAAAAGACAAACAAGACTAACCAAATTACTTATTGGTGTGCAAATCCTGATGAGTCATTTCCAGTAATTCAATGAAAATGATTCTGGTTTGTTCAAATGAAGTGATTCAAATGACTATACATTATTTTTTCACATATACTGACAGTCGAACAGGAGGAAACACATCGCCGCTGCTCTGGTCTTTGTGGAACAAATGCTAAAATGGGTTTTTGATGAAACGGTGACAGTATGATGGCAGCAGGCCACGGCCACTTTGTCACACTGCTGAAACAACTTGACAGTGCCATTACTTTTGTTTGGCTCACTGTCTTACAATAAGCTAAAATCTACAAGTAAGAGTGGGAACACTGGAGCGTGAAGAGGCTGGGTTCAACCAAACAATCAGGACACTTGTATGAGCATCCAAGCAGTTGCTTCATTGCTTCCGTCTAAAAGAAAGGCATTCAGTGTGTTAAGTATCTTCTCTGCTGCTCAGACATAAAATTGGCCAGCTTCTCTAGTCTCTAGTTTGTTTTTTTGTAAATTTGCATTTCTTTCTTCTAATGCATTTTTCTCATGCCTGGCTCTTTCCAGTGTGCAGACAAAGGCTTAATATTTCACCAACCGTATACTCTAAGTTCTGAAAAAAAAAATTTTTTTAAAAGTGGCGGAATTCACTCACATTTATTCACTGAATTGTTGGGAACATCTTCCAATTCAAAGTGTTCCTAAATATTCAAAATCACATTCAGTCAAATACAAATTTATACAGAAACCACTCCCACTATCTTTATCTACAAAGCTTATCTCTAAAGTCCCTCACACGCCAATCAACACCTCGCACCTAACACAGTGAGTTGCACAAGCATGGAGGAACACTCCTCATACAGAGTCCTCCAATAATGAAAACGTCACATTTGAGAAGGCTTTGCATGTTTGTTGCAGAGGATGTGGAAATGGCTCATGCTATGGTGCACATAGGGTTAGCAGCGACATAAAACAAAAACATTAGTATTCCACCAGATACAAAACTTGCTTGTTCAGTAGACAACAAACGGTTTTTGAATGGGAGTAACGGAACACGTGCGTGACACAAAGGTGGGTGGAATGTGAAGAGTTGCATATGCTCTGATTCCCATTGTCTTGCGTGACAGTGTACTTATGAGTGTACTTATGAGTGCTGTGGGGTCAAAAGTCAGACCTGATATGTGAGAATGTTAGACACTTTTCAGTTACTCAGAAAGTTTTAAAGTGCAGTTAATAGCTCGTAACATCATGCAACAGAAGAAAAATAAGTTCAGAGATGAGAGCAAATGAACAAGGCTATCATTTGAAAAAAAAATAAATAAATAAAAAACTTTTTGCTTCTGTATTAACATGATGGCTCAAATAAGAACAAACGTGCTCCATTAATGTCTCTGTAACCGGCTCTGGTCCTTTAACACAACCTGTGTCTTCATACTTTGCTTAAGTTTCTGCTAGAGACTTTACGGTCACCGATTGCTGTAGAGCTAAACAGTCCCACAATAAGCAGGAAATAATGCATCATCTGGACACTGTTCCTCTAATGTACTGTACATTGTTCCATTTGATTTGTTTACATCCTGTGCAGCAGATCTCCAGCACATTCTTTTTCTGTCTCACAAGACAGGAAAGGCTTTTTTCATTAGCAATCAGGAAAAAGATTTGTTAAAATATAATACAAAGAAATGCAATAAGGGGTTGATTTTAACTACAATAAAGCCTAACTTGAGCACATACTAAGTTTTCAGCATGTTCTTTTCTGTATTTTTTCAGGAGTAATTAGCAAGAACTGGTAAAAGTGAATAGTCTAATATTTTGTCAGTAAAAGATAAATTGATGTTTTAATCCAACACAACTATTTCATGCGTCATAACAGTGCTGACTGTATGTCTTCATTTCCTGATGGAAGCGACAATATGAGCAAAACTTTGAATACATCTTAAAATAAACCACATTTGTAAGAGAGATTTGTGGTGCAAATGCCTTCTTTAACAAGACTTAATCAACAAGTTGGAGGAAGAAAATAAATTAATAAGGCATTAATCCTCCCCCCATCAGTGCGACATTCATTCTCCATAATGAACCCATTACTGAGTCCTCTGCGCCTCTCTGCCACCAATCCTAATCTTTCATGTTCTGTCTCCCCTTTGTAAAAAAAAAAAAAAAAGCCCTCAGAAATCTGGCATAGAAAAAGAATTACCTAATTTTCAAGTCAATCTACCATCCGTCTTCACAAATATAATAACTTTTTATTTGTTCTTTGAGAGGAAGCAGCTGTTGGGGTGACTGTTGCAATATCATAAGTGTATTTATACGTGTGTGTGTGTGTGTGTGTGTGTGTGTGTGTGTGTGTGTGTGTATATATATAAAAACAACAAAACAACTCTAATGTAAGCCATGTTTAAGCTCTGAATCACTTGAAGGCATTTGTTGGCAAAGTATCATTTCTGTGATTTATTTACTTCCTTAATAATTTACTGATTCAACAAAAAATGAAACCACATATTCTCATGACAAAAAAACATCCCCTCAACTTGTCAGTCACTTTAAATTGACACAGACAATGTCCTTGCTACCAGTGTTTTGCTGCCTTTGGCTTTTGTTGCTTGCTTGTTTTTTGCCCACACGAAACCACAGGATGTTTTTGTTTCTTTTTCACAGACATAGCAGCTGGTTGTAGGGTTTTATTGTTCCGTTTTGTTCTCTCTCTGTCTAAAGGATCATTCTCCTTTTTGGGTTTGTTTTTCCTTGCTCTTCCTTCTTCCCTGTCCCTCTGTCAGGTTAGGCATTATTGGATACATGTAAAGTAAAAAAAAAAATCCATAAATAAAGAGACTTGGACCTCAGCAGCTAAAGGTAAAGCAAAGAAAAACACCAAAGTATCAAATGTATTGACAAACCAGCAGGTAAACAAAAAATTATCTTTAGCTACACACACAAACTTCCGATAAAAGCCGATTATATTTGCAGACCACTTCCAAGCTCTATATTTCAATAACTTTCCAGCTTTAAAATGGTTGACGTGCTCGCCAGCTAGTGATTGTCCTCTGGTGCTGAGCATGTCAGCATTAAACAAGTTTGTTTCATGAAAGAAAAATGTTGTAGAGTTTTTTTTTTAAGTCTACTATGTTACCTGACTACAAACAGTGAGCATTCAGTTATCTAAAAATAATCTTTAACCTAATGTTATGCTGCAAAAGCTGCAACACTAAGGAGTAATATAAAATAAATGTTAAGTCATTCTACACCCCTCTTGCAAACTTTTTCATCATATGGTCATGAAGCATGAGAGCAGAAGTATCATTATATGGGGTGATGTCAGAGAATATACCTGGATACTGATTACTCAAGGCAAGTGTTAGAAAGAGTTTTAAACAAGCACACAAATAAGACCAAAACTCAGCTTGGACAAAGGAAATGTGTTTGGCAAAACATGGGGTATTTTGGCATGGAATGAAAATAAAAATAACTTCTTATGTAAACATATGCATGGGAAGAATGGCATATTCCTGAGTAAAGCATACAGCACAGACATTGCAACGCACTAAACCGTGTGGGCTGAATGGTGCCCAGACAGAGATGAGAAACAGCTGAATCATATATTATAAACATTCAAATGGTAAACAACCAAACATGGTGCAGCATACTAGTAAACAGTATTTTAACGAATGTCCACAGTGCGTAAACTCTATACTAACATGTGATTCTCCCATGATTCATGCCGTGGTCCTGAGTGACCATAGAAGACACAACAAGTCATGTTCCCACAATTTTATGTTCCTCATTTGTTTTCCTGCCGGTCTCTGTTCACTCTGTCCTCAGACAGGTAGAAGAGCCAAGGTGCGCAGAGGAGGGTGGGGCCACGTCTAAGGGGGCTTAATCAGAGAGATATTACTTCCCTCATCCAGCCAGTATCGCTTCACAACTAATATATGAATTACCTCAGGTCAGAACCGCCGACAAACACAAAACGCTTCCCTCAAAAACATCTCAGAACTGTAACGACACCCGGAGACCTCCGTCGGAGTCCCAGCGCGCACAAACACGGGAATCCAGCGGGGCTAAAAGACAATAATCGCGTTTTACTCACCCACCAGATGCAGGCGTAGAAGAACAGGGTGAATTTTAGCACTGCGTACGAGAATCGTTTACAATATCTGGTATCGCTGTTGCCGGCCATCGTGTCCGACTTCTACGGCTCCCGGCGCTCAGCGGCTCACTTCCGCGTTTAACAAAGCTGCCACACCTGCGGCATTAGAGAGGGATGGATGAGGGGGTTTGCACAACAATTAACAGCCAGCGACATCTGTGGAGACCTCAGACCCTTTAACGCGCGCAAAAAGCTCACCGATGCGTGTCTTGAAATGCTCCAATGGCAGGGTTGAATCAGCTTACATTTGGTGTTCAATTAATATTTTGTGGGCTTCGTTCTTTCTTGGCTCGTTTACATGAATGATGTCTCATTAAACATTTAACCCCCTACGAGGGATATGTGTTCAACGGGTTAGCAACACTGGAATAATTTAGTTAGTTAAGCCATTTAACCCAAGAATCACAAAGGCATGGTAAAATGGTACCTTTTAGCACTTTGCTTTATTTTTTTCTTCTTCTTGTTGCATAGGCTTTAGAATTGTTTCAAATTATCTAGAGCACATGATCTCCATGGGGTGTTTCAAAAGTAAATGATAGACTCATCTGGATCTACACTTTACTCATCAGAAATGGCCCCCACGTAAGGAAAACCATCACAGTCATTAGGGAAACAGAACGGGAGATTGATGAGACACCAGGTTTAGGTGGAATTTCAAGAGCAACGGTTCTTAGGGAGGGATGAACGTTGTCTGGACAACAGTCTGGACAACACTATATGACCAGTGGATCACTTTTAATGGAACAGGAGGTTGACAGAATTGAAAGAAATGGCTTTGAAGAAACCAGGAAAAGAAATCACTGGGTTTATTAAGGGTTTTCGGGCTGATTCATTGTGTATAACATAGACCTTTGTGCATCATTGCGGGGCATCTTGAAAGATGTAGCTTTGCCCCCTAGTGGAGATGTATTTAGAGAGCTTATAATCATAAAGATTTACATCTGTAAAATTTGACAATATATCACAAGTCGATAAGCTCCATAAAAAACGCTCATCAAAGTATGAACTGTAGCAACTACAACTTTTTTTAAATGAGTGCTTTGCTTTTATTACAGCTTTACCCTGCAGGTGGATCCACGTTTAGAATACACTGTGCATCCATAGACCAGTGAAAAACAGCTACAGCTGAGAGTTTTTTTTCAGTTTGGCCTCTGTGACTCCAAAACAGCGTGGAGCAATCAATGACTTCAGTCTGCAGCACATCCAGCTCTCATCTGCTGCTGAAAGCTGTCTGACGAGCTGTTCTGTGAAATGAATCACTGTTTTCACACAATTGATGTGATTATTCCATATTTTTCAACTTAAAAAAAACTAATCTTCTTGAACAATTAGAAAAACTTCAGATTGATTACAAATTAAAATTTGGAACAGTTTTAGGTTTGATCAGAACTTCTCAAAATGCATCCAGAGAATCAAGACGGATGACATTTTTTTTACTTTTCCATTAAGTTAGTACATCTTTTCAGCCTTATGTTTTGTTTTGGATTCACAGATCAGTCTGGTGTTTTTCAGGTCGGGGTGACCAGGATGCCTATCTGATCAAGTATAGGTTCTACAAAGCCACTCGTTTAAATTAGGACATCACATGTATTAATTCTTTTTGCAGAAAGTTGCAAACCTTTTTAGACCATCTGTGTTCCCCCTCTACCATGCCCTGCTGACTAATACAATTGTCTCATCATGTGAAAGTCAGCACATGCAGTGCATACTGTACACACAGCACAGAGAAAAGCCCAAATATGTTCAGCTGAGGTCAGCAGCCGGTGTCCACCTCCTTCCGTTCTATTCTGAGCAAACACATGCAGGAGTTTTCACTGTGATTAAAAAGAGCTGACATGTGTAGAAAAGCGGAGTGTTGTGCAATGTTTTGGTGAGAATAAAGTCAATCATAGAAAGCACAACAGGGGAGCTCAAGAATAATCCATTATCTGGCTAGAAAACTGTTGTCTGCACAGCAGAACGTGAAAACACCAGAGCACTCGTACAATGAGACCGTACCAGCTCTGACATGATCATCTATCACAGGCTCCACATTTTTACGTGCGCATTGAATGTTTATGGATTGGCTTGCACCTTACATTTTCAAACTGGGCAGTTATCTGAGATCTCATTTCAACACAATAAATTTCTCGGACTGGATTTTGAACCTGTGTGGCATTTCAAATCTCCCAGGGTGAAAACAATCATACAACATGGAGGCAGAAAAAAACACGATTTTGCAGAGAAGATGTTGCACAGTGCATAACACAGAGAAAGTGGGATTATGTGAGAACTCCACAAGCCTGTGCAGCTTTTAACATTTAATAACCAACCAAACTGCATTGTCAAAGCCTAACAAACACAAAACATAAAACTGCAGATTTGTAAAACAAAGAGCCTTTTTATTTGACCATTTTCAAGCAATTGTTGATGGTGCTCCTCTGAATATGTGGATTGTACTTCTTATAAGGCTTAGTTGTGCTCATGGAACATGTTTATGATGGAAGAACAATTTCACTGTGAAAAAATGAGGGTTAAGTGTTCGGAACCTTAAGGTAATACATTTTAATGTCTACATACTCGGATGCTAAACATACGAACAGTCAAAGCTCTTTGGAGCTTTCCTTCTGTCCTCAGCCAACCAGAATACATTAAAGTACAACCCACTAAATGGAAATAAATGACATTTACATGTAGTTGGCTTAAACAGAGGAAGGCAGACAGAATTATTGAAGGGTTGTTTCAACAGACACCACTGCAAATGGGAATTCACTTTCACAGCCAAGTCCCCCTTCTATTCACTTTTCCTTGTATATTCTCTCTTCTTGTCAGTGCACTTAGGTTATTCCTCTCATCATCACATGTTCATTTTAGGAGCTTAGGAATTTTTAGCTTCATGAAAGAGAAGGTTATGTCAAGCAATATTGACTATTTTTACAAGCAAACTCTCAAAGGAAAAAAGGTTTGGGCTTCCCAAGAGATTTATAGCATAAAGTCTTTGAGGTCTCTGGCCAAAATAAATTAGTTACTGTTGTAGTTCGGACAATTGCTAGGAAAAACCCAACAAAACATATTTCAAAAGTGTTGTGCATATATCTTTAGGCTTTAGTTCCTCTAAAGAATCTGAAAAAATGTGAGGAAAATAAATATTACAAATGCCCTACAATTAAAGTTTTGAAATTTTCCTCAAAACAGCACTGACATATTTTATTGCTAAGATCAGATACAAATTGTATCCATATAAAAGCATGAAATCCGTATTAAAAACATTGCACCATATTCATCCTTCTTGTAGATGGAGGTAATACCATCCTAAAAGCTCAATTCTTCCTGTTTTCAAATTTTTGCCTCTTGAAAAATATTTTTTCACATCCCATCTGTCCTTGTAAACAAATGAAAATCTACTTCGCTACATTTACAGTTCCCGGGGTGACGTGGGTTTGGGATGAGTGCCATTCTTTTCTTTCATTCAATCCCATCCCTGTGACTCAGTTGCAGCAGCAGCACCGTGCGCCTTTCTTGTGTGTCGTCGTGGCTTCATGGTCGAGGCGCGTGTGTGAGCATCTTAACACATTCCAGCGGACAGAAAGGGAAAAACAGAACGCGTCTATGTTTCCGTAAAAGATACAGAAGAAATGTTACAGTGGATTTTTGGATACACCTGGTTGTCCGTTACGCATTGGGCTGATATTGGACTTTAAATGCCATGGACGTTTACATCTGAGGATAAAGTTCACGTAATCGCAACAACTGAGAGGTAATGTAGAAAAAACTCCACTCTACAGAAAAATGCCTTATTTTCTTGTGAGAAAACGATCTCCGGGTGGTTTACCTGCAAAGTAACCAGAACTGAGGCACCAGAACGGTGCGTGAATGATGCGCATTGACGAATTTGACCTTTTTGGAAGGCATGAATACAAAACGTGCATTAAAATGAGTTGTAACTTTATAAAACGAGAAAAAGCAAAAAATGCCAAATCCTACTGCGCCTCTTGGCAGGAGACGGTGCAACTTTCCAACATAGTGATAATGTGTGTGATTATTAACTCGGACACCTCTGCAGAGCGAGCTACTGCAAAATGCTGGTCTTTCACCATTGGTTGCACAAAGCTAATAATAATTGATTGGATAACCGATTAAAGAAACATCTTCATTCATAAGCAGCATGCAGCAGAGCGTGCGTCTCATTTTGGTTCGCTATGTGCAACTTACACTTCAGGGTTTGTCTCACCAGGTATACAGGCGGCCAACATGGACGCCGAAAGTCTTGTTCAACAAAAGGACTTAAAGACCACTTTAATGCCCTTACCAGTAACCAGTGACTGGTTGGACGACGGAAACGAGACCACTGGGAATCAGTTCCAGCAGCCCGACTGGCAGGTGAGAGACACAAAACCAAAATTAGAAACCCATTTGGCTGAAGACAGAACCGGCATACAGTATACGCACTTTCCATCCAGCAGTGTCTGGAACAAGGGAGGAGGAATACGTAAAAGGGTCATACACATAAGCAATTCAACAATAGTAATTTATGCATTTATTTAAATGGGGAAGGTTTATCTATAAAACTAGTTTAAAAAGTGAAAATAATTTATGTGTACTGACTTGTCTTTGTTCTTTAGAAGAATAGCTTGTTCTCCTCTCCTCTTCTTTGTCACTAAGGTGGCTCTCTGGGCTGTAGCCTACTCCCTCATCATCCTGGTATCCGTCACTGGGAATGTCACTGTAATCTGGATCATTCTGGCTCATAGACGCATGAGGACCGTTACCAATTACTTTATCGTCAACCTGGCCTTTTCCGATGTGTCAATGGCAACCTTTAACACTCTTTTTAACTTTGTGTACGCTCTTCACAACGACTGGTATTTTGGCCTGGGCTACTGCAGATTTCAGAACTTCTTTCCCATCACTGCCATGTTTTCATCAATATACTCAATGGCTGCCATCTCTGTGGACAGGTAAGAAAAACGGGAACACTGCAGAGGCAGGTTTGCATTTAGTCTGCTCATTAATGTCCCACAGAGAGAAAAGCTGTTGCATTTCTGTCACTGTACCAACAGTCAGACTATTTTGGTAGATGATGTTCATCTGATGTAAAACCATATTACGTAGCAGCATTATGACCGCTCCAAATAGGAAGAATGACCACAAGCTTGAAGAAATGAACCAAGTTGTTTTTTGGATGTGACCCCTCAAATGATTATATTGTTATGCTTCTTTCCTCATTGATTTGAGTTACGCTGCGTAAACATGCTCATGAATTCATGTGGAAAATACTCCATCCACTTTCAAAGGTTATGCTTGTCAGGGTATTCTTTATAGAAGAAATTACACCTCTTTGTACAAATTGATTTCTTTGGCACGTGTGTTGCATCTTTTGAAATCATGCTCAGCAGCAACTATTGACCCAATGCCGATGGATGAAGGAGATGTAGGCCAACACAGCGATGACACAGATGTTATTAATGCCCACTGAAGCATGAATGGCCAGCCTTTTATTAGTATAAATATGTGCTGTGTGTGTGATTTATAGTGAGCTACCAGTTTACATTCACTGTCTCGTGTAATGCGACAGTCCTGCAATAAACATTGTAATAATGAACCTTATGATTATTCAGAGACAGTGGAGCCATCACAACAGATGGATAATTCTGATATTTATTCAACACAACACAGCTAAATCATCCACAAAGCTGAATCCTTCTTTTATAACATCCTTTAGCCATAAGCAGTTAAATCAGAAGTCATCCCAGATAAGGTTTGGACAGGTAAAACATCAGTGAACTTTGAGCAACTTCAGACAGTGATACATGGCTCTGTACCCTGGTACAGACACAGTGATGACTGAATCCTGAGATCAACCCAGGTTTAACAAGTGCTCATGATAAGAACCTTCTATCTTGTAAGCATCAAGTTAATGGAATCGTTTCTTTTACTGCTTTCATGAGCGGCAGCAGAAAGTGGTGACCAATCAATTCAAACTCATCAACTGAGATACATGGGTCCAAGCTCTCTGAAATGGAACCTGTGTTCCATTTGATGCTACTCTGACATGAGATGGTGAGGACCAGAATAGGTTAAAAAGGCGTGACTGTTGGAAATTAAAATGAAAAGGAAAAATAGAAGTTCTCAGAGGAATAGTGAGCAGTTTCTCTGGCCACAGCAGGAGGGAGATTCTTGCCAAATCTCACCTTATTACTCAGACAACATTCACACAGCTGCTCTGGATCTTTTAAATGTATGATTCATATCGTTAGTTGCACACTTTGATTATAATGGTGACAGTACTGAGCGGTGTTGATTAGCAGAAATCTGCATTATTTTGACCTCATTCGTATTTTTTAGCACAATGGGGGAAGACAGCGGGTTGTTGTAACAGGAGAACTCATTTCAAAGGTGCCCTAAATTTCAAACCTCTGACAGGTAAACTAAATAAAATTGATCATCACACTACAAGGCGGCCTTATGCTGGGTCCTGGGCCCCATGTGGATGTTGAAAGTTTCCACACACCCAAACAGTGTCAGGCTGTTCTTCTTAAGACAACTGCCTCCAGGTTTAATGGCCTGTTCCTGACACACAGAAGCAGCAACATGAAATATTGTGTTTTTGATCATTTGGCAGGTGTGTAAGACATAACAAGTGACAGGTACTCAGTTAATTTTCTGCAGTGTGGTCCCTTATCTCTGAAGAATAAAATTGTTTTGGATTCAGTCCTTCTGATCAATTCCTTTAATGAAAACAGAAAAGAAATCTAATGCATTTTAGGAACAGATGTCCATACAGGACAAAGACTTTTCGGACTCTTCGTGAGAGGGTGAAAGTTAATTTATTTTTCTTCGTTGCACAGGTACATGGCCATCATCCACCCCCTGAAGCCTCGTCTTTCCTCCACCTCCACAAAAATTGTGATAGCCCTGATTTGGATTGTTGCATTCTCGCTGGCTTTTCCTCAATGCTACTACAGCGTGACAAAATTTTACTACCCCAGAACTGTGTGCATGGTGGACTGGCCCGATGATTATGGAGGAACACACCAACTGAGGTGACCAGTGGTGGTGGTGGGGGGGTCAAAGTTTAACAATAATAACAGGACAATCACTGAAATGACTGATCTTTGTTAGGCTCCCCGTGTGGGTTGGATTGTGTATGACCTCCTCTCTTTGTCTGTTTGTAGTTATCAGTTTGCGGTGATATTGCTGATCTATTTGCTCCCTCTGCTGGTGATGCTGGTGACCTACAGTTTAGTCGGCCAGTCTCTGTGGGGTGGACACATCCCAGGAGAGGCATCGGACCATTACCACTGCCAGATTACCGCAAAGAGAAAGGTTTTTTCATGTCTTAAAGAACAAGTAATTTCAATTGACGGGAAATTAAAAGATTGTGTGTCTTTGCCTCAGGTGGTGAAGATGATGGTGGTTGTAGTGTTGACCTTTGCTTTCTGCTGGCTGCCGTACCATATCTACTTCATTCTGGGCTCATTTAACAGGGATATCTATAAGCAGCACTACATTCAGCAGGTGAGCAGTACCTCTGAGCTCGCTTTTTCTGAATGACCTGGTAACTTGATGTTTTCTCACCATTTTTACGCTTTATCAGGTGTATCTGGCTATATTCTGGCTGGCAATGAGCTCAACCATGTACAATCCCATCATTTACTGCTGTCTAAATCAAAGGTAGATAATACATTCGTTGTCAATCATTCTTGTTATTGTATTTGTAAATTTGATGATTTTAGTATTTCAAAGTGCTAATATGGCGCATTAAAAATGGGCTTGTGTTACTCTTTCCAGGTTCCGGGCAGGTTTCCGTCACGCGTTTGCTTGGTGTCCCTTCATTAAAGTGTCTGAGGAGGACAGGATGGAGCTGCAGCACACCAACACCTTCAGAGTGACCATGACAAGGAGTCATCGCAGCGATGCCTCTTCCACACAAGCATCCATCAGAAGGAGCAACATGAACGCGGAGAGGAATGCTTGTGGGCAGCAGAAAACGCACACGCACAGCACACACAACTCACATTTGATAAAGAAGCTGGATGAAACTAAATCTCTTTCTTCCAGTAAGGAGCACAGTCATTGACTGATCAACCATTTCAAATGAGACGGCAGCAGAGCCACTTGAAGAATTTGAACAGTGAAAAGCTTGCAGGCTTAAGAGTTAAGCTATCAGTCGTAGCATGAAAAACTCCTGTAGAGGAGGGCAAGATGGGGCTCATCTGGCTTAAAAAGACCACTAACTTCTTCCACTATTGGTACGTGAATGGACATGACTGACAGTGACTGTGACGTGGACGTTTCTTCTTATCAGTGCCAAATTGTTTATATTTGTGAATATATACAGAAAAAGAGACACCAACTGTGACATGATCCAGTTTGCTGCTATTTCTAAAGCCTGAAGATGAAGTTTTCCTCCTCTCTACTTGACCGCTTTGAAATCTTGATGTTGTTTGACAAACTTAAGTTTCTGTTTTCTAAAGTTTAGAGTGGCTTTATTGTCTTTCTCCATCAGTGATTATGGACAATCCTTTAAATACTCCGTGGTTGCACCAGTTCCAGGACTCGGCTGCTGTTTTTACAGTTCGGTTGGTAGAAAATTTCTTATGAAATGCGATCACCAGTGACGACTAGTTTCCGCATTAAAATGAATACCACCATTTCTAAACATTAAAAAAGAAGTGCAGTGTAATATGATGGATAATCTTAGTTTGTGAATGGTCTAATTAGCATGTAGAAGTTACTGTATGTTGTTACTTTCACCCTTTGGCCACATGGTGTGCATTGATGTCGTAGGTTTCTTGTATGTTGTGAATTCATTCATTCGTACAGGTGGTATATATATATCTTTATATTTTAAAAATATTATCAAACAAATTCATATTAAATATTCTAATGAAGTGAAACTTTGAATTTGGAACTTGTGATGAGTTTGTGGGCATAATGCTCTTAAAAAAAAACTGTAAATAACGTGGTTCTCTGTAACTTTATGAAAACAGTAACGGCATGAAAGGTCTGTATTTTTGTTTTTTCTTCTTCCTAAACAATATTTAAATATCTATTTCTGTTTTTAAATGTATCAGTGGTAATGCAATTTCATTCAATTAGGACCTATGTGTGTTGCAGCACGGATATCTTAAGAGAAGCTGCTCGAGCCATACTTCAAACTTGGTCTCACTCATACCATCATACTCTCACATATTTTTTTCCAGTCTAAAACCTTAGTTATCATTCTTGTACTGTTAACAGAACACAGCAGGATCAAAACCTCATGTAAAAAAAACATAGAAAACTCCCAACAGGGGCTGTTATTTGGGATGGTAAAAGTCAATTTGCACCGGTTCTCTAATGAATGCACAGCTACATCAGATGGACACATGTTTGTTTTTATTGAGTGACAGGTTTACAGTGTCAGACAAATACAATCTAAGCTTTGTGAACGAAAGCTGAAGACATTTGGGGGATGTTTTTTTTCCACAGGGTTCATTTTAAGACGAAAGTAGAATGAGAAGGGAGCTTAGCTGCGGACATACTTGAGAAGCTAGTCTTCTCTATCCTGGCAGTCTGACTTGAAGGCATGAAAGATTAGTGGCTTTAGTTGAATCACGAAGAGTATTGATATATTTGGCCATCCATTCATCTCACCACTCAGTGAGAGCATCCTGATCTGACTGACCTCACATCTTTCCTCTTACTGCTTCAAATATCTTTTCTATTTCATCAGCAAGGCTCGGAAAAGTTTAGATCTATCTTTCCAAGTAGTCATCTGTAATGGCCATTGATATATTTGGTGCTCAGCAGCAAAAAATAAATATCAATTTGAAAGAATCGTATATAGATGCACTATGTGTAAAAAGGAATAAATCTTTTTGCCAAAACATTTAGTAATCCTCTTGAAGTTTCACCAGCTATCATGTTCCTCCATTCATAACCAGTTGCACCACAGTTGTTTTCCTGGAATCTGTTCTCCCCACACCTGTTTCATGGCTTCACTACGGTAAAGCACGGCCACAACAACAACTTATCAACAGGAAATGTTTTACTGATGAGTACAAATGAAAAATAAAGAACGCTACTGTAGATTACACCAGATATGCACATTCAGCAAAAACGTGAAATGGCTACTTTTGTTGATCAAGTCCCAGTGCAGAATCCCTCTGGTTTTGTAGAACAGGCTGTTTCTGAGGGAATGTCATCAGTGGCTTCTTCTGTTTGTGTCATCATTGCAACAGTTTTAATTTTCAAAATTAACCCAACATAATAATAGAATAAATAACAACAATTTGTATTATCTTGTGTATATTGAAAACCTTAAAGCAAAAGAAAATATATAAATCCCTTTCATCTCAATTACACATTTGTACACTGTCGTATATCCCTTTAAAGTTTCTGTACAGTGTGAAGTGTACAGCAGACATGTTTTGGTCTATAGCAGTGCTTTTATGTCCCAGCCATGTTGCAGAGAGCTATTGGGGACTGAAACGGTCAGAAATAAATACAAAAGCATTTAAATGACTGAAAGAACAGATCAATATGGCAAAAAATTTAGTACCAAGTAACAATCAATTTTCTATTCATTCTTTTTTAAATTGCATAATATTTTTTGGGTTTATTTATTTCAAATTTTAATTTTAAGTTTCCTCCAAAATATTAATTTTGACATGCTTCTGTCCTTAATTAATCATTATTAAAGCTATATAATACTAGATCATTTCAAAAGATGTAGATATAATAATATATAATAGTTATATATTTATTATATCTACATCTTATCCTAAACCTGTTCCTCATTATAAAATACATATACATTATCCCTAAGTTGACACATTGATTTAGATATTGAGACATTCATATATTTATGCATTTATTTCTGATTATGTCATTTGAATTTCTCAGAGGAGATTAAAGATCTTTGCAACAGATGACCTGGGAAACCATTTTTCAACAAACTGTAGTACCAGAGAAATCCTCCAGATAGAGCCAGAGGAGCATCACAGAAGTGGACAAAAATCCTTATCTTTTCCTTTTGTTTCTTTCTTTTTCTGCACAAGAGTTGTTACATTCATTTCAGGAGTTCAAAGGTCATAAAACCCTTGAGAGCTTGGGTGATGTTAAAAGTTTAAAAGTTCATCTAAAAAAAAATCGAACTTCCACGTACAACCTGACCTTCTGTTACTCAGCAAAAAAGAGAAAGCTATCTCCCATTCTTTGTGCCACACAGAAAGCAGCTATTGAGTGTATTGTGTTGACTGGACTGGTTTGGTTTAGGAGAAAAGGTAAAGTTGGGAAAGAGAAGGAGGGGACTTTGGAAGGTGGAGAGACACTGGTGAGACAAAGGAGGTTTTTCTTATTTACTGTTCACTTCCTGCCTGAGCCGGCAGCCCACAGCTGTGATGAGTGCAGCTCCTTTCCCACTGCCATCCTCCGACAGCAGGAAGTTCACAGTACACTGAGGGGCCAGTTCCTTAACAGTCTGGTGCATGACCCCTGAGAAGCTGGACACAAATAAGAAATTTGACAACAGCTTAGAAAGAGAGGTTACAAATGTAATATTTCAATACAAGCATGACAGCCTCAATTAGCAGCCCCATTTTTGACAAACAGGGCAACGATTTACATATCTAGGTGTTTATCACTATTCCCTTTTCCCCCTAAAATTCTTATCTAAACAACTTAGTTTGAAATGGTTATGCAAATGATGGTGCACTGACATGATGAAAGACAATCAAAGAAGTTATCCATCAAAAACAATGTTGATGGAAATCTTTAGCTCGCATTGAAACAGAGAAAAACATTTTTAGCCTTCTTTCATGCCATTACCGTACATGTCTCATATTCCAGTGACATAACTGAAGCATGGCTCAACAGGATCCGTATGAACTCATGCACAAAGCTATGTAATTTACATGCCTTTTTGTTTTATTACCCCAAGAAAGATTTTTGTTGTTGTTTGTATCTGATTTATCAGGATTGTCCAAAATCTTACAAAGTAGTATTCATAAATGTTAATGTGTATGGATAAAGGGCAGGACTAGGTTGTGATTCAGCCCTGGGTTTTGTGGGCCCCATTAATATATGGATTAAAATACACATCAGTGGAAAAAAATCCATAAAATCCTCATTCTTAAACTGTGTCACAAGGCTGGAATAAGAATTATCTAAGATGATTTATGTTTTTTGTTCACAGCGTGTTGCTCAAATACTCTGACAAGTAGATGTAATTAAATCAATCATGATGTTTGATCAGGGCTTGATATCAGTGTGTCATTTTGAAGTATCCCCTGACTTATGACGATAAATCGGGTCACCATGTTCTTTATCTCCTGTTGTCCAACAGGGATTTCTTACAGCTGAATCAAACTTACTGTGGATGTAATTTGTAAAGTGTCCCGTCCACCCCCACAGTGATGTTCAGATGATCTAGTCCACGGTTCTCCCTTATCTTATCGACCACAGCAGCCATTCCTGCTCCACACATCTGAGCTGCACGGTGTGACACTACTCCACATACCTAACAATAAAAAACATTATCATCATTGCAGAACTTTCCAGATTGTACCTCTCAAAGTTGCCACTATTCAGAAAGTTGGCAAATGCTTATCACTTCTCAAACTCTGAAAATAAATGTAACTTTGCAATGTCTATTTCCCTTAAACTTTCACACAGTCACATACTTTGTGTGTATTTCACAAGTTAATGATAAAGAATAGTATTAAAGGTCTTCATCTCTTTAACGGTGTGCGTGACTTTAGGAAAGGTTTAGGACAAAAAGCTGATAAAAAATAAGGGAAAAAAACACATTATTGATTCTGTTTGTGTACCGTACCTCTTTAACAATGATACTGTCATCACAGGTACTGTCCAGCCCTAAGTGTTGCAGGATGGATCTCACCTGCAGCAAGGCCAATCTGTCACTGAAAAAGGAGACAAAAAATATCTATTATCAACACAATATAAATATACTTAATCAGAAGAAAAATGTCAAAGTCTAACATATTTTGTCAATACTTATTACACATGTATGAAAAAATTAAGAGTTTAAAGAAACAATAACTATGATCCTGAAATTAGCACACAAACTAGACAGTAACAAGGGGCTTGTATCAAGAACATTTCTACTTCAGGTATAATGACACAGACAGTTGAGAATTATAAGAAAAGTATCTGCAGTCCTTTATAGTTTCCTAATTGTACATCGTATTTATTTTTTACCTCTCAATCTGTGAGAGGAACTTTGTTTCAAAGATGCCTCTGGTCTTCAGGGTTTCAGATATTTGTCCTCTGAACAGGAATCCTTTCTTGGTCATGTCAATGAGGATGTTCCGTACAATTTCCCCCAAGTACATGCCACTGCACATTTTCTCATATCTAGAATATGAAGCACACAAAACATACACATAAATCCAAAACACTCAGATCTCTTTAGGCTTTGAGTTAGAATAGACGGATTCAAATAATTACATAAAGTTTAAAGGACAGGTTGAAGAAATAACATATTGGAGTTTTTGCAGCACCTCTGTTTTCCTGGATTGAGAGAGAAGTCGTCCACAGCGCGGTCGTACTCTGTCCTAATGTCATCAAGGCATCCATTGTCGCCAAAAGCTCCCCACTCCATGTTAACACACATCTGACCCTCGTCCCCTTCAACCAGCTCAATGTTTCTCATCTCCTCCATGTAGCATGCGTTACTGCCAGTTCCTGGATTAGGATGTACACAAATTAGATAGGTAGAGCACAGAGAGATGAATACTGAATGTTGAGTGAATACGACATTAACTGACCAGCAATGAGTCCAACCTCACAGGTGGGTTCTTCATAGGCACAGGTCATCATGGTTCCCACTGTGTCATTGACTACCGCCACTACATCCAGGTCAAACTCCTTAAGACGGAGAGCAAAACATCAGACTTTTGACAGCTTTTGACGCAGCCATTGTGACCAGAATGATGCTGATGCTAAAATCGAACCTCTCTTCTCTTAATAGCGTCCCTCAGCAGTCCCACCACGTCCTCGCCTTCACAGTCTGTCGCCTTGAAGCCCTTAGTCCATGTCACCAAGATGCCCTGCACACAGACGCACATGAACTCTGAATACCATGCGGCATAATCATTTTCTGATAAAGTATTCATAGAAATGGGCAAGGCAGCTTTGAGTATGAGTCTGGTTTAAGATTCTCTGGGGAGTCATAACGTAAAGCATAAGGAGAGGAAAGATGAAACTCACAGCATCCAGGCTGGTCTGCCTGCACGGGAAGGAGAAGGTGAAGCCCAGAGGAAGACGTGCGTTCTTCATCCCCATGTAGTCCAGGAAGTCACTGATACAATGCACGATGTGATCAAACAGCTGGAAGAAGAGAAAAAATACTCTATTTAGAACACTTTTCAAATATTTAATTTTGAGATTTCAAACTCCTTCAATCAGATGTACACTGTTAAGGGGTTTTAAATATACAGAAACGAGATTCCAGAAACTAACCAGATTATATAAATCATGGACAATTCTAAAACAGTAAAATGCTAAAAATTCACCAGTTCTTAATGCTGACAATTAGTACCATTTCTATACTGACTTTCTTGCCCTTTGTCCTGAGGAGTCAGAGCGAAAGCCAAAAAAACGAACTGGATTAACCTCCTGTAGCGCACAAACGTTCAGTAACTGCCGGGCTTTAAGGATTGGTGGCATAAAGCCTGTCTCAACCAAGAAGCATTCCTACCTTATTATTTTTTATTTATTCACCTCTGAATCAGTAGGCGTTATACTCTTACCTTAAGCAAAAAGCCTTAATCCTTACTGTACTGTCGGTTAACAGGATTTAAGTTCAATGCTTTTCACGTACACACCTGCATGTGTGGATACGCTTAAAGCTCCACTTGCACAACCTCACTCATCTGCTCACAGATTAAAAGGTCAGAAATCAGCCGGATCTCACCTCCTCTCCGGTGCCCTGCATAACTTCCAGAGGAATGGCATAGATCTTGTTATGCATCTCCACTGTTCTCCTCTTCCCGGAGCGAATCTTAACCATCAGAACTCTGAAATTGGTCCCCCCCAAGTCCAAAGCCAAGAAATCACCATTTTCTGTGCACAATGAAGACACAGTGCTGTTAAACACTGCACACAACAATCAAAACAAACCATCTTATATGTGAACGACAGAGGAATTTAGTATTATATGGAAAAACGACTTGTATGCAATATTAGGACAATTTTCTACAATGTGTCTGTAAAACACTGTGAGGTTTCATATGTTAAACTGTGACTGTGCGTGTTACCTGTGCCGTCAGGTGTGCTTCGTACGAAGGTTGGCAGCATTTTGACAGTGGCTGAGTCCTGAGTGCTCTTTGAAAGGCCATTTTGGATCTCTATCCTCATCCTGCTCTTTACCTGGAGGGGTTATAAAACAGAGTTGAATCATTAAAGTCATCTAAATATCAAGCCGACGCTGATTGAGAGAACACACAAACATTAAACATTACTGCCTCTTCACCTCTAGCAGCTGTTCAGTTGTCAGGCGGAACTCGGACAGTAATTCAGAAATTAGTCGTGATTGCTCTGCTAGTCTGTAGGCCACAGCTGTCACCATGGCAGCGCCCTTTCCACTCCCACTCTCTGAGAGGAGGAATCGGACATCAGAGTCAGGAACTAAACGCCGCACTGTCTTATGAAGACGACGGGCGTATCTGAAACAGATACAGAGTACGTTGATTATAAAGGTATAGAAATAGAAAATTAAATACATGAAAACTTTTATAAATGACTTTACAAGGTCTCAATGTCTAACAAACAAAAACCAAAAAAAAACATTCAGAACAGAAGAAGTCTTTAACTTCAACACACTCACTGTGGGTGCATCTTATACAGAGAGCCGTCAATGCCCACAGTGGTTCTGAGGCGGGCTACTCCTTTGTTCTCCTTTAGCCTCATCAGGATGCCTGCCAGAGCGGAAGCTATCAGGTTGGCAGAGCGGAAAGAGACAATGGCACATACCTGAAGGAAGAAGAACAATAAGGGGACGGAAATCCACCGTGCAGCACAAGTTATCGAGAAAAGATGCGGGCTTTCTAAAATTTCTCCTAAATTCACAACTTTCAATCATTTAAAGATAGCAAATTGTATTTCTAAACACTTTTAAAACAGCAAGTCATCATGTCAGTCACATCAGGTTAGAAAAATTGTAAAATCAGTGTGCTGCTACAGATGTGCACATGTTAAAGATAAAAAGGGAATAGTTACAGGAAAAATCTGAATCAACAGAGGTCAGTTTTTCAAGATTAATTAGGTGTGTTCAAGGTTGTACTTGAAAAGACTATTTCCTTTTTCTGAAGAGCACCTGATTTCCCCCTCTGTAAGCAACATCTCTAAAAAAAAAAAAGGGCAATACAGGATTCTTAAGGGTTTTAATCAGTGGTACTCACATGCTGCACAGCAATGCAGTCTTCAGTTGAGGGTTCCACACCGAGCCTGTTCAAAATTTCTTTAGCCTTTGTTAAGCCCTCCTTACTCCTAAACAGGACAGAGGTTCACATTTAGAGACACAATGATTGAAAGTTAACATTCATTTTTTTTATTTACCATCGTAAGTGATGGATTAAATCAGACCTATGCTGTGACTTACTTCTCTATGGCTGAGATATGCTTGGTTTCAAACTTCCCCTTGGTGAGCAACTCTGGGGTGATCCTTCCCTCAAACAAAAGGCCTTCCCTGGCCATCTTCACCAGGATGAGACGGACCAACTCACCCATGTACATACCACTGACCATCTTCTCAAATCTATAGAAAAGAGCATATTGGCAATCGAAACAGTATATGGATGAATAAAATATTTTTTACCAAAGACAAATGCTATAGGGTGTCATTAGGTTTGTTTCAGAGCTGAAGTGTTTAAGAGCTCATGCTTATTTGTTTTCTGTTTTGAAATGTTCACTATGAATGGAATAATACAGGGGGACACTTGATTTGACTGACAGCTGTTTTCCTGGGTTGAGAGAGCCTCGGTCTATCTCCCTGTCAAACTCGGTCCTGATGTCCTCCAGCCTGCCATCGTCTCCGAACGCTCCCCACTCAGTGTTCACACACATCCTGCCCTCGTCTCCCTCCACCAGGTCAATGTGACGCAGTTCCTCCATGTAGCACGCATTAGTACCTGTACCTACAATCATAGAATTTACAAAAAAGATATCAGAATTAAATTTCCCCACACCGATAGCGATGCTAAATGCACACCTGAATGTACTGGGTTCAGGCACTATGCAAAGCACCGTACCTATGATCATGCCAACCTCACAGCGTTGGTCATCAAAGCCACAAGTCATCATAGTTCCCACAGTATCATTCACTACTGCCATGATGTCAGCGTCGTAGTCCTGCGAAAATTGAATGCAAACATGTTTTGAAAGCTTTGCCCCATTCTGAATCCCACTTTGAACAGGACCATTATTACACCCATTACAGGATTACAAGTGGCGCTGAGTGAGAGCAGCAGAAACCATATGAGACTTACTCCTCTTTTCTTAATAGCTTTGTTGAGCAGTTTGACAACATCCATCCCCTCCACTCCGCTGGCTTTGAAGCGCTTCGTCCATGTTATTAGATAGCCCTAGAGACAGACCAGAGTCAGAGAAATGAGAAAATACGTTGACCAGGCACATGTGAAGAACCGAGACATTTCTCCACGACAACTCTGCCACGCTGATTACCTCGTCGAGTTTGGTCTGCTGGCAGGGGAAGGAGAAGGTAAAGCCCACTGGGAGTTTCTTGTCTTTGATGCTCTGTTTTTCCATGAAGTCTCCGAGACACTCTGCCACATGGTCAAACAGCTGGGGCCGATATAGAGGGAGGGACAGACGGCATCAGATGGAGCTTACGGGATTCTATGTGCATTTGTTTATGGATTTCAACATAAACCTACTCTTGTTCCGGTGCCATGAACAATGTCCTCTGGTGTGTCATAGATCTGGCTCTCCATCTGAACGGTCTGTTTCTTCTCATGGCTCACTTTGACACGAAGGATCCTGAAGTTACTGCCTCCCAAATCCAAAGCAATGAAGTCTCCTTTCTCTGTTGAGGAAGAGAAAAGAAGGAAGAATCGGGAGGAGACAAAAAGGAAAAAATGAGGAGGAGAGATGTCTGTAACTTAACATTTTTGGCAATAAGCTTTAACACAGCAATTTAGATAAGTCAAGGGAAACATACACTTCCCATGATGTACATAATGTGTGTAAGGTTTTATAAGCAAAATGACGAGTAAGCCTGGGAAAATAGAGCATTTTTGGAACTTTGTTTTTAGACCTATTAAACAGAGGGCCCACATACCTTTTCCTTTAAATACAGTGTAGGTATAGGTGATAAACATTCTTATGTTTCTTTATGTAGAGGCATGTTGGTGCAGAATAAGGCAGGTTTGCCTAGCAGCATTTTTTCTGCTGCAAGCTGCAGTTAATGATTACAAAAACAAGAAGCTTTATGGCAGCCTTAAATGATCCTGGTCAAGAGATTATCAGAAAGTCTGATAAGATTTACACAAAAAAAACAAAAAACTAAAATTGAAACCATTCAGAGAAGCACCTAGAAAGATAGAAATGTTGTCAACTTGACATTTACCTTGATGCTTGTAGGAAATAAGGCAGTCTTTCTCAATTTAGCAAACACTCTATTTGTCCAGTTGATAGAGTCTGTATGCGTGGGGTCTAATATACATATTTATACACTATATAGAACTTTGACAGCATTCTTCTGAGTGACATATTTCATTAAAGTATTTCTCTCTAAATTATAGCACCAGAATATGTGATAGGTTTATTGCTCTCTGATTAGATAAACTCCAGTGGTAGCTACTTATCATAACGCATTCATAACCTGACTCAGAGAGGGTTGTGACATTTGTTGAAACGGACCTTTAATTAAACACTGAATTCGTGCTCACGTCTTTCCACTCCTACTTTCTTTGACTCATGATCTCATGATCCAGTACAAACAAATCATCCTGTGGCGCTGCAAAATAAGTACAAGACGTCCTAAAATGTAGAAAGTCTCAGCAGTTCAGCTGCTTCAGAAAAATGGTCTACATCGGAGTCTGTTACTTAGTATATTAACAGCCTTTGTTGATATCTGTAAATCTGTGTACACCAGTGATGTTGCTAGATTTTTCAAAGTGAAACATTTGTGCGTTCACCCTGTTGTGTAATGTCACCTTGTTCCGACACTTTTGTGCAAATCAGTCACAAGCTTATGGGCAGTTCAGCTGGTGCCTGAGAAATTCTGGTTGTACTCACTTCAGAAAAAGTAGGAGGCAGTTCCAATAAAGGTTTTAGGATGAAATACAAATCCTGAATGCTATAGTCTGTGAACTGCACCAACACAGCTAACACAACAGAGCCTGAGTAAAACTACAGCAATGACATTTTTCCATGTTAAGATACAATGATGAACACTGTGATGGTATGCAGTGAAAAGATTAAATTCAGTTGGGTCCACACTAATCACCACACAACAGATGGTATGATTTTGATTCCTGCTACAGTTGATTTGATAAAGGTTTAGACACCGTATCTGTGGCAGGTAAAGAAAAAATGAGATTTCCAGCTGATATTCCTCGAGCACTTTGATAAAAAAAAGAGAGGTGGAAGTAAAACCAAGAACATTTACTCATGTAGTACTATTACAGACTCAAGCTATTTTGTTGTTTCTGTCAATCCAGTCTATACATCTCTACCTCTCTACCTTTAAAACATACAATATTTAATAAAAACCAAAAGCAGTTAATGGCCTTGAAAATGAGCACAGACTTTCATAATGAGAGAGTGCTTTTATGGGGTAGTATTGTTAACTTTACGATACATATAAATGCTGCACCTGACAATCATTGAAGCAGCAGCAGAATCACTTAAAAATTAAACTTTGTTGTGCTTGTATGTCCATCACAGTCATTACAACTAATGCCCACTGTGACGGACTTCTCTAACAATGGCTGCAGGATTAGTGTTAATCTCTGATTTGTGTGTGTAGCGTTTTACGGTTCAGGATACAATATGCTCCAGGACTCCTGTTCTGGACAGACAGAAGGACTGTGCAACAGTAGAGAAAGTTTTTTGCATGGCACAATCTGAGATATTTTTGTCAAAAAATGCAGAGTTTATATAATAAGCACTATAATTCAGGTGAAAAGAAGGTACTTTTCTTTATTAAAACTCATACATGAGGAGTAAAAATACCAAGAACATTTTAAATCTGTTGTGCATTAAGTAAAAAATACTGGCAAGGATGATTGCCACAAGTAAGAAGGGAATTCCTCTTGTTTCTGCATAGCAGGGTAAAATCCCACCACAAGGGTCACATTAGGGTTTTGTCTACCAGGATAAGCATGATCAAAATGATCTATTGATAAGAAATATGCCGACTGTAAAACTGCATGCAGAATGCCATGACTTTAGAGTAAATACATTAGATGTATAACAGGATGTGACTGCGTCCATTCATCAGGGTTCATTTACTGACTGGGCTACTTGGTTAGCCCTAATAAAGGCTGAGGTGTACTAACCTGAGCCATCAGGGATTGACCGCACAAATGTTGGAAGCATCTTCAGTGCAGCTGTGGCATTAGAGTCCCGACCCAGTCCTTTGGTCAGCTCCCGTCTAAACCGTTGCGTGATGTCCAATAACGTCTCATCAGAGAAACGCATGGAGTACAGGTACTTATCGATCTGAAAACGGATGTTAGAAAATAAAATCAGTGACTAAAAAAAAATAAAAAAAAGAGATTATTTTATAAATTTGGCACAACCTATCATTCTGAACTGTATTTAGTTGTACTGCATAATAAGGCAATAATAATGAGTAACAGCAATATGAAGTTTACGATGTGCCACTCAGTCCTATTATCATGACACAGATCAGTGATGAGTTTGTAATATGCCAGGTATCAGTTACAGACAAAAAAAAGCACAAATGACATAGAAAAACAGCCAATCAACAGATAAAAAGGTTCATAATGTTGATCATTATCATGTGGTGGAAACAGCTCAGGCTGTCTGGATTTTAAGGAACAGGATGTTAAAAGTTTCTAGTGAAATCCGTTATTGCCTCACAGACGTTAATGACGTAAAGACCTTCTTTATGACACATGGGAGGCAAATTAAAACCAGACCATTAGTGGTTTACAGTTCTGGTCAAATTCTCATGAAATAATCAAGTCAAAATGTGCTCAGACGTACTACGACATCCAAGTTGTGATGTCCAGGTTGCCAATGTTACTCGTTGCAATTCCATCAGCTAGGAATGTTGAAACTTCCTGTTTCAGGAGTCAAACATTAACTGTGTTTCCTGTATAGCTCTGACTTTTAGGACAAAGCTTCAGTGGGTGTGAGCATTTACAGGAAAGAACTTGCATCTGACAGTAACTGAAAACGATTTTATACCAGAGAAATAATGACCCTAAAGAGCAAATGCAGCATGGTTAGGACAACATACACCTTACACCATAGGTAAGTGAATCTGAGTGTTTAAAAGGAGATGGATGTGCTGCCACGTCTTAGTGGTGTAGGGAAATGTGATTGAACCAAAGAGAATGTTACAATTTTATTGTTAACAATAAAACACGTGTCACATTCCTCATATTCAATCTAAATGTGGACTCTGCCTCTGGGATGAAATCTCATTAGCACATGTTTTTGTCAGACAGCAGCCCACAGCTGAGTCAGAAAAACCTCTTCCCTCAACAAACTTTAGAGACATTCAGGCAGTAAACTTACTGAAATCTCATCACACAAGTTCACAGGCCTGTGTTGGGTTGCATTTGACACACCAGACTAAACTTTTAAGTAACATATTAGCATTAGAGACATGAAAGAGCCCTACAACACCCTCCCCTCATGGCATAACAGTGAGCCCAGAGCATCTGTAATAACACTGTAAGAATGGCCAAAATTACACCAACATATCACACCAGTCTCCTGTGTTCTGCAGATATCCAAATGATAGAAAGATGAATGTTCAACAATATAAAAGCAAGTTTAATTAAACTGAATATAGTAAAAACACAACAAAATCTACACTATACTTACTATTCATGTAAAAAGAATATGTCATTATTACATATTTTCTCTTAAAACTGTTCATAGAAAAACTAAGAACAACAACATATAAATTACATCGTATTATCACTTATCTAATAATAATAACTAAATAAAAACTCAGAAACCAAGTAAAAAATGTGATTCATTAGCTTGTGTGAGGTGCCCCGGTTTGAGTGGATGCAACATAATCCCAAATAAATTGCAAGTGCCCTCCTTCGATTCTGTTGCCTTTCATTTTAGAGATGTAACTCTTGGATTTCTCCGTGCAAATAGGCCAGATATGTCTGTTTTATAAACCTTTCCATATCTATGGGCACTAGCAGTTGCTTCTAAACCACTGAAATGCTTCAGCCCACCAAACTGCTACCAAAACTGGCCAAACTAAGATTTTACAGAGATGCTCAGTGTTACTCACAATCAGTTAATCGAGTTAATGTGATTAGAAGCATCTCGCTGTTAACCCTCAATGCTGCATAATTTGTTTTTTTACACCGCATTTCTGTGAATGAAGACATAAAGTGTTATATTTCACGTGCTGTTCCTGATTTCTAACTGGCAATGAACTCATTTGGAGACTTTCCATGGTGCTAAATCCTCCGCGTGACCACATCTATATTGACATCATTTAAGATTAAAGCATGCACATTTAAGCTATAATTTTTACAAGAATGTTTTTATTTGCCAGGTTCACTGTAATCGGTTATCTAACATGAGGAAATGAAAGTACATTTTAGGTAGAGCTTCAGTCCCACAAATCTTTTTTGGGCAATCTGATGTTAGTAGGAGGCCTATTGGTTGACCTTCTTAAACTAATTTATTGATACTAAAGTTGGACCAAATTACCGCGGGTTATAAAAAATGGTTTAATCGTATTAGTGATTCTATCATTCAAATTTCAGCCTGTGGCTCTTTCCCTAAAATAAAATTTACTGGACTTGTTTTGATGCCTTAAAGTGTCAGGGTGTATGCACATATTGGACAGCCAAAATAAGTTGCCCTGCTGACTAATACGTCAAACTCAGTTTGAAAAGCCACCTTTTCATTGATGGATAGCCTGTGGTTTTAAGACTTTACTCTGAATGGTATGTTTAGAAGATTTTTATCTTTTACAAGATTGTTTATGTATATTTAATAAAGGGCATCTTAAACACAATGCTCACAGAAGGTTGCTATCCTGGACGGATATTATTCTTTTTGATAATTTTGTGTGCCTTAAAACATAATAGTTGGTATGACATTTTTCAGAAAATATTTTCATGTCATTATATTCTGAAGGGCCTGAATTTTCTGCACATGCTCACTGCCAAACGTAAGTTTTCAACTGCACAGCCCCTCTCCGATTGTGGCCACCTGACCTTTGACATCAGCAGCTGCAAGAGTTATCTGCAGGTCCAATGATGATATTTTTGGTTCATCTTTTTCTGTCAGTCCACATTTTGACTATGCCTGTTGGTTGGGCCAATTCTGGATCAATAGCAGTCATTTGAGATCTACACCACATTCTACACTCATTTTAAAGGCAAGGAGTTCTTGAGAGCATAATTTGCTGCCACCATATATTTAAATGAAAACCTGAGGGTTGAATGCATCCCCAGGTTTTGTTTCACAAAGGTGTACTCCCTTTTCTGAGTGATTGGCTCTGATTTTATTTATTGATATTATTCCATTAAGTATAAAATGTGGAAAAGCTATGAGTTTTTCAGATTCTTACCTTTATTAACAAGCACCATTGTTCAAAGGCTTTCAATTTCAAGGTACCTAAGCAGCCTATCCTGCAGGCTTTGTTCATGAAACTAAATTAAGAAAGTCGTGAGTGTGTATTTATTTTGGGACGAATCATGTGCACCAGTGTGAGTCAGCTGATGTAAACAGATCCATTCAGGTTTGATGCTATGAGCCACCATATTTCATTTACCCCAGTTGTAACTACTCTGAATGCTTTTATATCTCTATACATCTACTCTATGATTTCATTTAAATTGATACTGTCAGTAGAAGCTTCACACCAGTACACACCGACTTAGCTTTCCAGTAAGAACAATTTTCCTTTTTCTTTTTTTCTCTGGCACAGTTAATAAAACCAGCTTTATCTACCAGCAAAACACAGTCCCCTTTGTCAGATAGGTGATTAAAATAACAATATGCTTCAAGTGAAGCAGCTAAATAGAAAAAGAAAAGCATTCTGAGCTTTCCTCTAACAACAGTGTGTGCTCAGCTGGCCAGCTCAATCCTTTGGTTGAGAGAAAGAGGAGGAGTAAAATAAGGGCGTCCTGAGTCCTTGCGGAACTATCAGAAATCCTCCAGACACCAACATAAGTGCAGTCACTGCTGCAGGACAGAGAGAAGCATGTCTGACTCAGCAGTCTGCAGCTGGTCTTCGTACCCAAGTAGTTTGTCATAGCCGGGGTTCCTCTCAACTGACACAGTTCACATGAACGTGTCCGCCATTGTTCATTAAATCATCCACTAATGAAGAGCAGAGAGAGACGTTCTCTGGGGTCAAGTCGGGTCTTGTTGTCAGAAAGCACTATTTCTGTTAAGGTCATGTTTACCCCTAAACTCAGATACAACATATGCTCACCTGTCAAAAAACAGATCATGACTTGCTAAGGAGAACCCCCCCCTTCTCCCCACTCTCCTTGTCCTACTCCTTTCTGTTTGCATTCCTCTCTCAACAATGCCTTGGTCTCCTCCTCACTATGAGGTTATTCAGGGAAACTAGACCCCGTTGTGTATGTACGTGCACTGCTATGCTACGCACACGCACACACACACACACACGCAGCCTCATCATGTGGAAAAGTACTGCCCCCTACACAACCCCCTCATGCACGTTCTCTGATTCCACCTTAAGCACACACACACACACACACACACTACTTTGGATTCCTCCTAACATCTCAGAGTGTATCAAGGTGTGAGGCAAGGACACAGCAGTCCACTGAGCTGATAGGAAACATGCAAACACATGAGACAAAGTTGACATGGCGACCCCAGAAAAAGCAGCTCATCTCAAAACATGCAAAGAAGGATGTCATCTGAACCCTTTCAGTTTATGCTGCTTAAATCGTTGAGTTTATTGTTTTACGATATCTAAACCGGAGGAGCTTTTGCTGAGGTGCAGACAACCCTGCTCTCTGAAAAGCTCCACCCTCGCTCTACATCAGCCATTGTCTGTGGCTGCGTTGGTGTAAGCCTTCTCCTGTCACCTATGGTCACATGGTTCAAAGCTGGCCTATTTTAGGGAGGCAAGGAGAGGAAGAGAGCAGGAATAAAGAGGGAGGGACGTGTGTTGTATTACACGAGAGCCCGGCCGCTGATGAATGTAATTTACCTTAACAGACTGAGATCTGACTTTGGATCAGCAGTACTGAACGTTACCCTGGGCCAGTACTAGGACACAACACTACTGAACTGACAATGGTAAATCAAGGAGAACAAAACAGGAAACAAGCTGAATGGTTGTAAACTCTTTCCACTCTTACAAGAAATTGCCGACATTTGCTTTGGCTCGTGGGTTTAATCACCAAAAAGCATTCTTAAAAGGGACTTGGCTTGTTTCAGAACCTGACTCATGAGCACGTTTAGAAATAGTCTTAGGCTGATTAAAAAACTTTGACAAATGGCAGCAACTGAAGTATATCTGAAAAAATGGAACCTGTCCAGGCTCAGTTGTACTTTATCTAAGTTAGTTTGGTTTTGGTGTTAGGCAACGTGGCTTTATGGCACTGAGAAGGACTGGAAAAGCCCAATTACCCCTAACCCTCCCCACCCCAACCCCACCCCACCCATACACACAACCATGACACTCTAAGGTCATCCAAAACTGGTCCAGTCAGTTTTTCTGCTAAACGTCTGAGAGGAAGCCCCTCAGCTAGTTACAAAACATTCAAACCAACGGTATACATGTGATGCCACTTATGTTCCATATAAACAGAACTGTGTGTACAAATTACACAAATATAAACATTTTAAAATGAACTCAAGAGACCCCTGAAGTGACTTTACACACTTATGTTATGTTGTGGCCTCTCACCCCCCTGCTCATGAGGCCTGTCATTTCTTATCCCCTGACTTCCTCTCTCCTCCTCTTCGCCACACCTCTTAAATCTTACATCATGGCACCGATCACACTCTGCTCTTGTGCCTACTTACTTTACAAACCCCGTGCAGTTTGTCACGTCTCACCGAGCTAAGGTTGATTCGAATCTTTTTATAGACAAATCTCTCCCATCGTGAAACTTTGGAGTGGCCTGCCAAAATGAGGTCTGTTTCATCCACTTCCTCATCTGCGCTACACAGACTCAGACTTCCAAAAATGCACAGTACTTTCGGCCCAACTAAACGACTGCAATACAGAACAACTCAGTGACCTCCACAACACATGTGGCCCTCTCCTCACACCAGCCTCCCACTTTCAAACACACACAAAGAACAGGAAGAATGGAGGCAGAAGACGCAGAGAGCACTCACCTTTTTGACCTGGTCATCCTTGAGCTCAGTGAAGTAGTAAGCTAGTAGCTGGGCTGCAATCATTTTGGTCCCTTTTTCCTCTCACACACTCATGCAGACTAACTACGGACTGCCTCTCTGTCACCCTCTAACACCCTCCTTCAACTATAGATGGAGAAAAGCTTTAAACTTGTAAGTCTGGCACTGATCAGGAGCTGTAATCTCTCACACTCCTCACGAGATACAACTCTATCCTGTGTTCAAATCCAGGGTAGTTTAAAATAGACAGGGCAGCTTCATGTGTGGCTAAGACCCTACAGCTCTGCCTTCCCTGTGCAAGTGAGTGGAGCCAGGAAGCATGAGTGAGACAGCAAGTTTAGGTGCAGAAGAGTTGAGGGGAGGGCCTCCACAGGGGCCTGCCCACTGTCTGGAAGCTCATTGGTTTGGTGCTGTGGTTGTCTCTGATGGGAGGGGGAGGGCTAATGCTACATCCTCTTTGCTGTGGTTGGCTGGTGTGCTGAGGCCTTGGAGGCAGACTCAAGGATGGAGGAGGGAGAGGGGGAAAAGTTGTTGGGGGAGGAGAAATGGGGTGTAGCACAGAGCGGGAGGGGAAAGTCAGAGGAACATTTGTGAGAAAGTAATAAATGCAGGTTCTGTGTTCTCACGTCGGCTACTACAAATATGAGTCACTACGACTTGGTATGACGCAAAGGAAAAAGTAGCCTTTGAGTCAAACATAGTGCAGCTCAGAGTCATGAAAGGAAGTAGGAAAGAGCTTGGAAGGAAAGGCTCTCCGGCCTTCCCTTTTCTCAGTGTAGGAACAAATTTCCTCGAGGCAGTGCGAGGGGCTCTTTTACTGGAGGTGGAAATTGCCCGCACGGTTTTCCATGCTGGATCATGTTCGTGTGGTTACACAAGAGCAATTTCATCAGCTTGCACTCTGCCAGTTGATTCAAACATCTCATTATATAAATGTCTGTCCACCTGCCTGCCGGTCACTGCGGTGTGAGACATAACGCTTCCTACTGTAAAGCATCTGCTTTCCATGAGTGCCTCCCTAGTGCCTCTGTGTCACCAGCGCTTACACAACAGACTGAATGTTTGCAAAACATCCCCAAAAAGGAAAGAGAGAAAGTGACTGTCTGCAGTCTTTGTCCGCTTTCCCACTCCTCTACTCCTAAAATGTCCTGAGTGACCAAAACAAAGGAGCACAATTGTTCTCTGCACCTCCTAGTTCAGCGCTACAGAAGGAAGAACCCCAAGTCAGATCTTCACACAGTCAATATCTGTCCCCTCTCTCCCTGAAGTGACATCAGTGCCGTAACAAAAGCGATCTGTTGTCTGGGGCCACTTATGAACAACCTCAGACACTTTCCAACCAATCCTTTGTACACATAAGTGGGCTGTTGGGGAGTTCTACATATGATCCCCCCCAGTCCCTACGAGTGTAGAAACGGGATTGGGGAGTTCTGTGAGGCAGACCCATGCACACAAGCATATCCACTTCTCCCGTGACTTATGAAATAACACACAATCTCCTCTACTCTCCATTGGCCCGTTTCCCAGAGTGCCTGTTACTCTGAATGCTCTCTGCCAACCTGCCTGGGCTTGTTGCACTCATGGACAGTAGAGACAGTTGTACCACTCAGGCAACAGCCCAACTGTACTGAAAGCTGAGTAAGATTTTGTGTCACTCAACTAGATTTAAGTGATTCCAGTGCATAAATGCATGTAATGCCAATATGCAGCTTTGGTGATAAGAAGCAATGTTTTAGGGGGGTGTTTTTAATTTTTTTTAAACTGAAAATGAGTTACTAAGGAGAGGTAGAAGTCAAACAGGGCTATAAAGCACCAAAGTCACGATAGCAGGAGACATCTAGAGCAAGCTCCCTCGACTAGTATTTCCAGGGGATGCTTAAATTTGTATCCCAATAATAGTTTTAAATGTCTGATGTAGCTGCAGGTGTATATACAGATCAGTTGTGTCTTTTGTGTGAATTGACATTTGTTGATAGGGGTGTGCGTGGAAGTAGGTGATGGACAGACTTCAGTCCTCTTACTGGGTAATAATTTTAGCAGTTCTTAACGGGGATTCTTTACAGCAGAATGGCGTGAGGTACTCAGTTGCTCTTAATTTAGAGAACAAAGCATCGAGGTGAACGCTTAATGCAGCTACTTTTAAGAAGGGAACGATAAGCCTTTATTATGGGATCAGAGTCTTTGTTGAAGAACAGAGACAGAATAATAAAAAATAAAAAAAAGAAGAAATAAATCAATGGACTGCCTATACAGTTCTGAGCCTTTGTGGGAGGCAGTCACTAAAGCAAATTTTGATTTGTGGGAAAGAATGTGGTTACATGGTGGAATGCTTTTACCAAAAAATGCGGTTCTAAGTCAGGTTAACCCTAGCTCGATGCAAGCAGAAGCAAACAGCTCGGAAAAAACAAATAACCGGCTCTCCCGGTGAAACATTTTTCAGCAGCAAAAGAATGCCGTATCAAATGTGAAATGCTATTTGACTTCAAAGTTTTTTTGACAAAAGTATTCCTGCACACTCAAAAATCCAATTCAGTTTAGAGAAGTGGAGTTTCAATGACTGTAGCTTTTGTATCTCACATTTACCTATATAAATATAGCTTTACTAGATATTCCAACAATTTCCAGTGTCACAAAGGCCAAGTGGGCGATGGTGAGTGGATCCAAAAATGCAGATTAGTAATGGCAGACAATGGGAAAATAAGTCATTAAAGTTTTAGAACTAGCAACGAAAAGCACAGGTGCACTGGAAAACTGAACCAAAACCAAATACTTATAAATAACCATAACCTTGACAAAGAAAAACTTGACTAGACAAAAAAGCAGCACGTCCAGAATTACATCTAAATACATGCAAACAACAGATGACCTGAACATTCTGAGGAAAGTGTCGAGGAGGGTGAGACATTTAGTACAGGTGAGTGGATATGATGACTGAGCTGAAAAAATAGTGAGAAGTGAGAATGACAGGGAAACCAAAATCAAGAAAAGAAACCAAGATTGTAGAGCAAAATGAATTATTAGTAGATGCCCAAAAAAACTCAACTCAAAAAAAGAACATAAACTAAAAATCTGCCACTCATGACATCCATAATATATCTAAATATGTTTTTTGCTATCTGTCCCTTCTCGTTTCCCAAAAACAGTTGAGTTACCTTCTCTACTGAGTGTTTTCCACAATCCAGCAGAGCACGTGTCAGACAGCTGTCATCACACAGAGGTTTTGGCATGCTGCATCCCATCCTTCTGCTGTCCGTTCCCGAAATCCTCACCGTGGGCTTTGGTCCACGTATCGGTCGGGAAAACATCAACGTGAGCATGAAATAAAAAATAAAAGCCTCTGTCCCATAAGAGGTAAATTGAATGAAAATACAGAGCACACATACCAGAAGTTCACTGTCGGATCTGTTAAATGTCCTGATGAACCAGCAGCTCAGCTCGGCCCAGCGGCTGGAGGCCATTTTTGTTTGTGTGTGAGCATGAGCGAGTGTGTCAAAGCTCTTATTGTTGGTTTATCAAGGAGACAAAGACACACATTGCAAGCCTTCAAAACGCACAGTTGAAAATTGTACATCCAGAGGACTCACACACCTTGCTCCTTCTGGAATTTTCCATTGGAAAAATCCGGGAGATGCAAAGGCTGATTTCTGAGTTGATAATATAACAGGGGGGAAAACTGTTTAACATCTCAGCCAAAAATGAATGAATAAAAAATTTTCCAATAAGATAAGATCAGGTTCTGAAAGCATAAGGAAATCAGCAGTGCTCATGTTTCTGCAGAGGAGGCTGACCGATTGCTATCAGACTGGTTTATTCGACCTCTTTAACCACGTAAACGGAGTTCATGACAGCAAATACAAAGTAACTATGGTGGTGCCTAACAGCAAATGGGTTCTCGGTTCGAGTCCCGGGGCGAACCGGAACTTTTCTGTGTGGAGTTTGCATGCTCTGCGTGGAACCTGCAACCTGTTAGGTTGATTGGACATTCCAAATTTCCCTTAGGAGTGAGTGTGCGTGGTCATTCATCTCTGTGTGGCCCTGCGATGGACTGGCGGACTGTCCAGGCCAGATGAGGTCAACGAGGGGACTGGATAGGTCCATGGAATTATCGGTTCAGCAAACGGATGGATGAAATGAGAACAATTCAAAATCACGATGTCAAATCATTAGATCCCATTCCAGCTGTGGGGACAAGGAAGACGTTACGTGACTCAGGGAAGATGTGCCATATTCCCTTTTTTTTTATTCTCAGTATTCCTCTCCAATTTACCTCCAAACAACTCAACTCTGTAGAAAGACCAACAAAGAATGCTGTGCTCCGTTTTTTTCATTGGAAACCATTGCTGGTGTGGCATAGTTTAGCTTTGGGGAGGGTTGCGTGGGGCTGCTGGGGCTCCGGTTACACAGGTCCAGCTGTGCGTGCGTGCTGTGCTGCATAGCTGCAGCGTCACTGCAGAGGTGGTTCAGCTGTGAGGATACTAGGTCAGGACAGTGTGGGATTAACGTGAGGGTGTGTGCATGTGTGTGTGTGAGTATGTCGCCCTCAACTGGTGGCACTGTAACACGTTAATCCTAGAAAGATTAGCCAGTCTTCCTTCTGTTATAGTATGCAACTTTTTCTGCATTTTTCTACCTCTGTTTCGTGCATTTGTAATTATTTTTCATTCACTACATACTCCCTACATACGCTATAGTTTTTGCATCAGTGTGCAGGACCTTTGTCATTATCTTTTACACTCTACTTATTTATTACATCTTTTCGCCGGTCATCATCTTCAACACAGCATCTAATCTGTTGTGAATGGATTAACATTCGCTGATCATTGCACTGCTCTAACCCCATCAGATCACTAGTTACAGATTATGAGGCTTGGAAAACAAACATAATGGCACAGGTCTCCCAAAAGGAAACATTATTTTATGATAATCATGACACCGTTAACATGTTTTAAAGTGCCAGCCAGACAAATAAAACAAACAGAAAACACCCAAGGACAGACTGCAGGGAAACTGAGGATCACAAGAACAAAGGAGAAACCCAGAATAATAAACAGAGAGTTTGCTGTCTTTATTGTTAGGAAATGCAGTCAGCAGCATTCCAATCCTACTACTGCCCCTCATCAGAACTGAGATACGGCTCTCCAGCCCACGTATACTTTCAAACAAACACGATCATGAGGATGTTACATTACATATTCAGGTTTTAGCACCAACCCTGATACCAAGAGTTTTTTTCTTCACTACCCCTAACCCCAACGGAATTTCTCTTTAGCTGAAAAACTAATGATTTATGTCATGGTGATTTAGTTTTTTATTCCATATAGTGTAAAATCCCCTATAAAGTTGTTCTTCAAACACTTTGGCCCTCGCAAGGTAATTAATTTCCCAGTGTTAGTACCTATATGTAAGCTTTTAAGTCACAGTGGTTTTTTATAGGTTCATTTATCCTATCATTTGATTTTAACTGTCAACATCTTGGTCTCAATCCTAAAATACTGACTTCCATAAATATGTTTTGCATTTTGAAAATAGACAGAAAAATAACCGGTAAGACAAATCGTAAAGTTCCTCTGTTAGTGTGAAACTGTAAGAAAACTGCGTTCACATTTCAATAGCTGCAAACATTGCCATCCCACAATGTAGTCAACCGAATAAATGCTCTTATGGCTGATTACCATTTGGTTTTGCATTAACTGATGTCATTGAGTCAGCTCAAGGATAGGAATTTTAGTTTAGTTTCCTAAACCAACCACTCTCTGGTGCTAAATCAGTGCATGCTAACTCTGACATGTGGCCGTACAGCTGCTCATTTCCCACAGCTTTGTAGCAATTAGAATTGGGGGGGGGGGGTCTGTATTTACTTTGAAAAGAAAATCCAATGTTCAGGTAGATAGATTAAACAGACACAGATCTAATTCTGAACTTAAAAGGAAAGTGCTGTTCTGTTGGGACAATTTTGCCTCAGCGATTAAAAATGAGCAACTACAACAACAACAACAAAAACTGACTGCACAGAATTTAGACGTCATTTATATCAGAGTAGGAAATAGAAAGTAGAAATACACACAACAAAATTTGAACAATAAGTTCAAATCCATCAATTTGGACAGGCACATAAATATTCTTTTCAGTCTTCTATCTGCAGAACTCCGTTGCCTTTGACTTGAACAGGAGATTTAGCATATTGCAATTATTCGGACACAAAAAAATCACATATTTTGTTTGTTTCGAGCCACAGCAGCAATGAGGGCCGCGCCTTTCCCACTGCCCTCCTCAGATGGGAGGAACACCACCTCACACTGAGGAGCCATGACTCTCACAGTTTCCTGGAGGACGTGAGAGAAACTACAAATGGCAGAAAGACAAAAATAAATGATCAATTGTTAATGTATAGTCTCACATTACACACCAAAATGTGAGGGATGTTTTTGTAAAGGAACTCACTGTGGGTGTAGTTTGTAGAGTGCCCCATCTACTCCTACAGTGATGCTCAGATGGTCCAGTCTTCTGTTCTCTCTGATCTTATCAACCACTGCCGCCAGTCCGGCCCCACACAGCTGAGCTGCACGGCGGGACACCGCTCCACATACCTGCACAACAGTACGGATCTTTATCATTATTGCAACAGTCACCAATCTGTTGATACCGCGATCAGCTGACCCACACAATACACCCCTTCCACAAAGCGGTGGGGAAATATTACCCAACCTAAAAATGAGGTTGCAACATGATTTACCAAAGACTTAAGACAATAAATTCAACTTCTGACCTCTCTCCACTATTTGAGTCACATCATACAACCAGAATTAAGGCACTAACTGCACCACAGCCAAAGTTAGATGTCTAGATTCAGGTTCTGCTTTAAGAAAGTTAAAATGAAGTTCGAAATGGAAATATTCTTCAACAGATTTCAAGTTTGAGAAAGGGACATTTTTAAGTTAGACTAAGCACACTAATCTGAAATAAGGTTAGGTATTCCTTTTGGTCGATAGTCGGTAAACTCCAAAGAAATGAGAAATAAACCAAATGTAAATAGCTAACAATCTTAAAATAGCACTTCAGCTAAAGTTGAAATCAAATGTCAACTGACTAATAGTCAAACCACATTTTGTTGAAAAAATCAATAATTGTTCAATTGTAAATTCTGTACAATGAAACGTGAAATGGACTGAAATTGCAAGCGTGAGTCGTTAGTATTACGCAGTGGTTTTCTGTCCCATACCTCTTTGACAATGATGCTGTCGTCACAGTTGCTGTCGAGCCCAAGCTTCTGGAGAATACACCTGACCTGCAGTAGGGCTAGATTGTCACTGGAGGGAGACAACACAGGCCGCACATGAGGGCAAGAGAAGCCATCCATAACTCTGGATTCCTCCAGATTTGAGCAGTTATGGTATTAGAATATCAGAAAAAGCTTTAAAGTGATGGAGCTTTACTTGACGCAGACAGAGTTTTCTCTACCTCTCTATTTGTGACAGATATTTAGTTTCAAAGATCCCAGGTGTTTTTAAGGTCTCTGTGACATGCCCTCTGAACAGCAGGCCTCTTCTGGTTAGATCCAGCAATACTTGTCGGACAACTTCACCCAAATACATCCCACTGGTCATCTTTTCAAGCCTACACACACACACACAAAACACAAAAAACAATTTGCCAAAGGCAGTGCACATTGCCTATGTACACATGAAGATAAATAATGAATAATTACATTATGTGTAATTGTTGACCAGGACAGTAATAAGATGGGGCTGGAAGTGTTTCTAACCTTTGTTTTCCGGGGTTGACTGACTGTTGATCCACCTCGATATCAAAAGGTGTTATGATATCGCGCAGACTGCCATCATCGCCCAGACCTCCCCACTCTGTGTTTATACACATCTTTGCCATCTCAGCATCCCCCTCTGTTTTTTCAGCTTTCATCCCACCTTGCTGCAGCAAGAAAAACACAATAATGGAGTTGAATAAAGTTTAAACCACTACAGCTCAGTGATGCTCAGTAGAATGTGAGCTTCTACCTCATCCTCCTCTCCTTTAAATGTCTCCTTTTTTTTCTCTGTCATTGTCTTTTGTTCAATCTTCTCAATGTTTTTCAGGTCTTCCATATAGCAGAGATTTGATCCTGTTCCTGTGTAACAGAACCATGGCTTCTTTCAGTATTAAACAGTACAAGTAAAGCTTTGGACACATACAACCCTTTTCCAAACTTTTTTTTACAGATCCCAACATACAATGAGTAAACACACAATTAGGGTTTGTTGGATTGGTTTGATTAAACAATTTGCAACATAAGAGGCACAAGCATACAATCCTTTCCTTTGTACTGTAAATGTGTAGTTTGAACCTTAGTCTAAAAAGCCGACAAAAATCTCTGCATCATCAACATATCCTCATAGTTCATGTCACATACCAGCAATCAGTCCAATTTCACACTTGGGGTCTTCGTAAGCACAGCTCATCATGGTACCAACTGTGTCATTCACTAATGCAACTATGTCCAGATCAAAATCCTGTGGGAATACACACGTTCAAGCTCGCAAACACAACCACGGATCAGTTTTGCTTATTATTGCAAGACAGAATTGCAATGCATTCATGCTTTCACTTGTCCAGTCATAATCTTCATCATACAAAATGGTCAAAGTTGAACTCACGTTGCGTCTCTTGATGGCTTCTCGCAGCATGTTCACAACATCGTGTCCCTCACAGTCTGTGGCCTTGAAGCCTTTTGTCCAGCTCACCAAATTTCCCTACAAAATTACAACATTTTAAATGAATGCTTTGGATGTGTGTTTATTTCTGTGTTACAATTGCTGAAATTGTGTTTTGCACCGTATCAATAGCTGTCTGCTCGCAGGGAAAAGAGAAGGTGAAACCAGTGGGGAGCCGAGCATTTTTCATCCCCATGTAGTCCAGGAAGTCACAAACACACTCAGCTAAATGGTCAAACAGCTGCAGGCAGACAACAGAGAACATTTGGACATATAAGCACTAAAGAGTCATTTAATTGTTTGTGGTTATTTATTTGTCTGCAAAATCCAGTTTGGATGATCCATATATGTTAGAGTAAAGCATTTCTTACCTCCTCTCCGGTTCCCTGCATAATCTCCAGTGGAATGGGATAAATTTTATGGTAAAGTCGTGTCCTCTGTTTTTTAAATCTGACAAGCAGAGCTCTGAAGTTGGTTCCACCAAGATCCAAGGCAAGGTATTTTCCATACTCTAAAAAGATGATGAAAAACAAACAATAATTTCCATTTATATCCAAAACAGGATTGTTGTCTTGAGAAGAAGCTGAAAGACACTGAGTTTGTGTTTGACAAAGCTTTACATATTGCATAGGTTTTAGCATCAGACCTTGGCCATCAGGCGTGTGGCATACATAAGAAGGCAGCATTTTGATTGTGAAGGGGCCTGTGCGCCTCAGTCCTGCCTCCAGCCCCGCTCTCATGCTGTCTTTGACCAGCTGAAGGTGCTCCGGGCTCAGTTTGAAGAGAGAAAGCGTCTCATCCACCTGGAAAACCAAAGGATCTGTGTTTCAAATACACTCAATACCAAAAAGAATATATACATAGTTTTTTATTCCACCTATGAAGCCAATCAAAACCCAAACAGCTCACTAACCTTTCGCCTCTGTGACGCCAAACGTTGGGCGACTGCTGTTACCAAAGCAGCTCCTTTGCTGCTGCCACTGTCTGAGAGCGCAAACCGAACCTGACTCTCAGGAAGCAGCCGCCGCACCACTTTATGGAGGCGCTTAGGATACCTGAGAAAGAAATGAGAAAAACATCCCTCTGAATTAAAGTTTTTCCTTCTGTGCATGCTTAGTAGAAAAGCTTACTCAACATGACAGAATCTATAGAGCACTTATCCGAATGTATAAATTAGCGTAATCAGGTTTATCAGTATGAACAGTTAAAATGGAAAACTGCAGAAAGCAAGTATTACTTGAAAATTGTGTCTCAACAGTGAGTAAGACATATAATTGGACAACAAATGAAGGTGCTATGATCTTTAAGGAGGGTGGATTGATAAAAATAACATGAGGACATGAATACATTCAGTTGTCACAATAAAACCTCACCATGAGCCCCAGAGCACACTGGAATCTAATCCAGCTCAGTGAATCTATGTGAACCTATCCCACCACTTTTCACGATAACTTACTGTGGGTGTGTCTTGTACACAGTTCCATCCACACCTACAGTGATTCTTAATGCCCTCAGATTCCGGTTTTGTTTGATCCTTGTTAAGATGGCTGCCAGTCCTGCTGCCACCAGATTCGAGGACCTGAAGGACACGATGGTGCTGACATGTTGGACAGCCACGCAGTCATCTGGTGACGGGGCCAAATCAAGCTGAACTAGAATGTCTCTGGTGTTTTTTAGTCCATTTCTGTACCTGAAGATGAAGAAAATGTGTTTGTTTGTCACAGTCTTCCGGCAGAGATGATGATATGTAGAAAACAAATAAAAACAACAACAACCTACTCTTCCATTGCTGCTACATGCGCAGTTGTAATCTTGCCTTTGGTTCTCAGTGCATCAGACACAAAGCCATCAAACAGCAGTCCTCTTTTGGCCATCTTTAACACAACCAACCGTACTAACTCTCCCAGATACATCCCACTCACCATCTTCTCAAATCTACAAGAAAAGAATCATGCGGGGAAGAGAGACAGGTGAGATCTTTCAAACATCCCACACCACATCATGTGAAACTGTGCGGAAAGAAAGATATGATTTTTCCCTAACATTTGTTTTCCAGGGTTCATAGAGGCTGCATCGACATCCCTGTCAAACTCTGTTATGAAGTCATTTAGGGCCCCATCATCCCCAAAAGCTCCCCATTCGGTGTTCACACACATCCTGCCTTCATCTCCCTCCACCAGATCAACATGACGCATCTGCTCCATGTAGCAGGCATTGGTGCCAGTTCCTAAGTAAACAAAGATTTGGGAAAAATGCATATGTATACAATTGCAGAAGACTTAAATCTTTAAATCAAATTAATAAACCTTTAAAAGAATTAACTATACCCCAGTCTGACTTTCTTTAATAACCAAGACAGAACTGATGCCAAACACAAAACACATTTCACACATATCCACATTCATATTTAAATCTGAATGAATGAAAGGTGATCTGCTTCCAAAATGTATCAGAACTAATTCATTATTGGACTATTCTTACCAATGATTAGTCCCACATTGCAGTACTTGTCATCAAAACCACAAGTCATCATGGTGGCCACAGTGTCATTGACCATCGCCAACACCTCTATGTCCATTCCCTGCAGAGTGAAATACAGTGAAACCGACTACTGCACACTGTAGTAGTTCTAAAACCTAATTTTTCACATGCCAAAGTATCTTACTACTATAGTTACACACAGATCGCACTTTAGCTTCTGGACAAACTTTTAATTTATATTCTGTGAGTTGACCTCAAAGAATATAAATGAAAAGAGGCATAAATCAAACATTTTTTAAATGAAGATTTCACCTGAAATGAACAACTAAAATATGTAATTAGAGATAAAAGTTCATTAGAGATTAAAGTTCCCTTAAAAAGGCAGTACCTCAATTCACATCTAATTCTTACTTATCATTTTACCATAACATGACATATACCAGCATCATACCCCAGTTCTGTCGATAGCCTCTCTGAGGACCTGGACCACATTTTTTCCCTGAAGACCTCGAGCTTTGTAGTTCTTACTCCATCTTAGCAGTAATCCCTACCACAGGAAATACTGAGATTCAGGGTCTGAATGAAAAGACGGAGTAGTGCAGAGTACACCACTATGTACAGATCAAGATAACCATCAGTTTGAATTCAGTACCTTATCCAGACTGAGCTGTTCACAAGGGAAAGAGAAAGTGAAGGCAAGCGGGTGTTTCTCCTCCAAACTGATATTCTTTTCTTGCAGGAAGTCTTTCAACGACTCCGACACATGGTCAAATAACTGGAGGGAAGAGAAGTCAGAGAAGGCTGACAAGTTGAAACATCTCAGTATTTTAGCAAACTATCAAAGACTCATTCCTCAGCTCCCAATTTGCTGCTCAGAATCGTATCTAATGTAAATGACTCCTTACCTCTGCTCCTCTGCCATCCTGCAGCTCATTAGGAATTGGATATATTTTTTCCTCCATCTCCACCCCTCCCTTCCTTAAACCTTTATCCTCTCTCACTTTAACTTGGAGCACCTTAAACTTTGAACCTCCTAGATCCAGCGCAATGAACTGTCCTTTCTCTGCGGGAGTGGACACAAGAGCAAAAGAGACAAACATTAGTGAGGAGAGAGAGACAGAAAGACAGATCTCAGAGAGATTTGTAGATGAAAAACGATGTAACCTGTTCCATCGGGAGTGGAACGGACATGTGTTGGCAGCATCTTCACGGTTGCAGCTGCATGGCTTTCTGTTGAAAGTCCCTTCTTAATTTCAGCCAGAAAACGCATCGAAATGTCAGTTAACTGGTCATCATGGAGACGCATTGCATGCAGAAACCGGTCCACCTGAAAAAAAGGTTAACATGTTGGGGAATATCATTAAAAACAGTTTTCAAAAAGTGTTTGTTTGGTGCTGGCCTTTAATTAATGTTAAGAGGGCACTGTCAATACAATTTCATCACAGAGTCTTTAAAAAATATAACGTCTTTTTTTGTTATTACCAGAGTAATGCATGTGTAATGTGGTTTTCACTCAAAGTTAATAATGCACATGTTGAAAATTGCTTGCCAGATCTGAAATTAAACTGATCTCTCATAAGAAATACAAAAGAAAAACAATAAAGCTGTTATCATGCAATGCCAGGCTGACCAATCTGGATACTTTATCTGTGTATGCCTTATTGCTGGGAGTGCCAATACCATGTCCCTGTTGAATAAATCTGTTCAGAGGGGAGCGCTGACACTGTCGAATGAGAGTGTTAATCATTGTTCAGAAAGACATATGGTTACAGTGTCTGACAATAGAGTGGGTCAGTGTCTATGAAAACAGCAAAACATATTTTCACCTGAAAATGAAGACATAACAAAATCTATTTTTTCCTTATAAATTGTGGCATTAAGAGAAAGGTAAAACCCACAAATCAATCAATAGGTGAGCATGAAGCATGACAACTCAGTAATGACCCACATCAGTGGAACTTTCATTCTTCCATTACTACAAAGTCCGCTCACCTATAAGACATGCTAGTAACTCACAGTCTGAAATCTGAGTAACTCTTACTTTTTTTGTGGGATCCTCTTGGAGTTTTGAGAAGAAGAAGGAAACCAGATGAACGGCCAACATATTGAAGCCCAAACTTTACCAGCATGAGAACGAACTCTTTGTTCTCCTGTAGATGTGTAATGATAGCAAATCCCCTTCCCTGAGAGGAGGATGTATTCTATGCCTTATTTGACACTCTCTCACAGAGTCCACTGAGCACAGACCAACCTCTGCTCACATTTAATAATTAACAACGGGCCAAGCCCATTCGCACTGTCATCACATCCACTGCCCATCTCTGCCTCATTCCGCAGTTAGTATTAGTCATTATTGACTTAAGTTATGTTATCTTGTTCAGTTTACCTACGATATTAACAGTGCATGTAAGTCTACTAATACAAAGATATAAATGTATGATGATTCAACTCAACGTGATGAATTAAACAATGGCTCATTATTGGAGTATTCAAATTCGTGTTCAGAAAAAAATAGGAACAATACATCACATAAGATTATTGTTTGTACAGAGGAAAAAAGTAGAGGAAGAAAAGGTGAGCCAGTAAAATGAATTTGGAGAGGTGTGTCAGCCATACTGTAGTCTGTGCTCTGCCACTCTCAAAGTTGGACAGGTCATGTGCACCTATTTTAGTCAAACAGACATGAATTCTGTTCAATATCTTGTCCTTCATTGTGAACTTTAGTTTCCATATTTCTCCTAGAAAATGGGTGTGAAACGCTTGATTTAACTCTCCTGTCAAAGTATATGAAAGTTTTTTTGTTTCACCCTGGGTGCGAGTTAAAAACATAAACATAAATATGACATCATTATCATACTTTTGGTTTTTTATTGACAAATGCCACTGCTTAAAAATACAATGAAAAAAGAGGCAAATCTTTCCTACAGACAATGACCTCCCGTTGGTGTCTGTGTGCGTTCCAACCTGTTCTCTCGTTGTGTGGGGTGTAATAGTGGAGTGTCCATGACCTGAGCTGAGAAAATAAACGAACTGACCAACAGACAAGTGCACACTGCATTTACAAAACGTGCCTTAATGTCACTGAAACAGGCTCAACTCGGCTGCTAGTAAGCTTCAAATATCCCATCAAGAAAATGTCCACTATGAAAAATGTACATAGGTTAAACAAAAGCAAGATGAGTCCGCTTTTTTAAGCTCAAATGCCAATAAAAAAAAAACAAGGATCCGAGTGTTTCTGTTCACACCGATCCCACATGTGGGATAAATGTAAAGCAGCCGAGACTTTAAAGTAGCATGAACTGGAAAAATTTATTGTTGCTTAATTTAGTTCATTTCTGGGCTACAAGAAAACAAACCTGGCATGTATGTCACACAGGGAAATAAGATGGCTAGTGTTAGGACGATAAACAAGTGTTCTGGCATGAATTCCACTCCTGAACCAGGTAGCTGTCAGGGTCCACACTGTTCTGTTGGTGTATTCATCCATTTTCACAGCATTGAAACATAATTCAGTACAAACTAGATATTTTTCCAAGGCTTGCTTCACTTGCTGAGACAACCCATCGGAGCAGAGTTAAATATGATAACAATGGCCATAATAGAACAGTGTGACACTTCACTTCTTCTTCTTTTTTCTTTTCCCTTTGTTGTTCTTGCTATGATGGTCTTCATCGAGCGCGCTCTGATTGGTGTATTCTTGTCTCTGGTCCTTAGACCACTCCTTCTGTAGCTGCCTGAGCAGATCAGGGGTCAGAAGCCCATCTCTCACCAGACGACTGGCCAGAGAGATTCCCATCACTTCTCCTGGGCCTCTCTGACCTCTGCTCCTGGGCAAACTACGATTGCTTGAGGCTCCACCGCCGCTCCCTGTTTGGCCGTGCATGTTGCTCTGGGTCTGCAGTGGGTCACTTATGTTTGAGTCGGTGGCTCGGATGAGACGAGTGATATTTCGAACCCCCTGCTGAATGATATCATCGAGCTCGTGCTGGATTTCCCGGATGGAGGCTGTATCTGGAAACATGTCCATGAAGCGGTAGCTGCAGGCGCACACACACAAGGATTAGGTGGCAAGTAACCATATGAAAATGTTTCTGCAATAACGAACTGTTCACAGGCATTCGTACAGGATTATGGATTACACCGGCACACGTTCACCCAGAAGGTAGTCACCTTAACCAGAGGTACAGATCCAAAACGTCGTGAACAGCCTCCAAATGAACCAGATCTTTGATGTTCTTGGGTGCAGCCACGGGCCAGCTGATGTGTCGACAGACCCAGTCAAACGTCAGGGGTTCGTCTCGACTGAACTGACGTGCAAACTGAAACATGCACACAACTGTCATAAGAACGACAAAGCTGAAACTGAAAGGAGCTCCTCAAAGCACTGCCTGGATAACATCAGCTTTTTTTTTCTTCCAAGCACACGACTACTGGAATACAGAAAACTGGTTAGCATTCACATTGTGTTGCAGCTGCACACATGAAGAACGCTGAACTTAGCCCTAAATCTCAAAGGTTGCCGCTTGATAGTATTCTTATTACGTTGTTTTATCTGCAACTCGTGAGGGAGCTTCAAATACACTGGCTGTAAAATATATTGTAATCCCCCTTTTCCAAACACACACACGCTTTAACAACATATCTCTTTACAGCATGACAAACAGAAAAGGCCTAGCTCACGTGTACTTCACGTGTGCAGTGCTCCCGGCCGTTACCTTTAGGAAGGATGTGCACACGAAAGGCTGCTTTTTGTTGATGGGAGCAGTGCAGAAGACGTAACGAGACCTCAGGTTTAGCGGTATATGCTGAATCATATCGGCCAGAAACTTGAAGTCGTCGATGTTGCAGACAAAGTACATACCATCCACTTGAGAAAGGCTGACAAATATGTCCTGAGCAAAACAGAAAACAAGAAAGACTACAATGAACCAATGTGTTATCTCCGATCTGTTTGATGAGGGGCTGCATGTCGCTGCCCCTCATCAGGAGTAGCTTTGCTGGGAGAATATTGATCAATAAATTAGTTTTTCAGGGTGATTTGCCTCCAATTTTTGAGTTAAAGGATTCTTCATAGTTTTCTCTTTTGAACAGTGTGTTACTCATGCACTTACCTCTGCATAGCACACGAGTATGAAGCTTTACAATCTTGGGAATTTCCCTTTTTTATTTGAACACACTGGATTGATGTGTATAAATGTGTGTGGTGAAACCAGAGTGTGACAGTGTTTTTAATTCAGCCCACTCTTGCACACTGAACCGCTTATACTGACCACGCACATGATGATTCCCCCCCAATTGGTTTTTACTCACTACAAGGTTGGACAGCGTGGCATCAGGCAGATGATAAGCAAACATCTCTATCTGCTCTGCGGTGGGGTGAAGACCTGCAGTCTGAGACAAAGAAGGGGAAAAAAAACAATCTGAGGATTCATTCAATCTGATGCCACATTTCCAAGGCTTGTTCTAAGAGTTAGTGTGGGAAATGCTCACCTCTATGGGATCTACAGAGTGGCTAAGGATCTCCTTCAGGACAGCGAGGTCATCTCTGTGCATCGTTGTGACTTCACCTTCTTTAAATTTGGAGGAAAATCTAAAACAGAGAACACAGATTTGTCATGTCATCCTGGAAGAAAGGAGGACAGCGTGTTAATATCGAATGTTTTCTTCCATTTTACATTGTTCAGGAGCACTTAAGACTGACCTCCCTGCACGGCCTGAGATCTGCAGCGCCTGTGAGGTGCTGATGGTCTCCATCTGTTTCTCTCCCTTCTCGTTAACATTGGGTTTTACCAATGTGTTGAAAATTATGCGTTTTATACTCCTGGAGAGAGGGGATACACACACAGCTGTGAGCTCAGCCAAAAGAGGTCACAAAATGTGAAAACACCACTATATTAAAAGTATGGAAACAAGCTCACTCATCTCTACAGAGTGGTACTCACAGGTTGAGGCCCATGCCGATGGCATCTGTAGCCACCAGGATCTTACAGGGGTCATCCGGGTCGTTGAACTTCTTGGCCTGTGACAGCTTAGTGCCTAAATCACACATAACAAACATGAGCAGGGAGGCGAGTATGGCACATTTATTTGAACTAGTATATCAAAATGTTTTATGGCTTGGGAATCAAATAGGTGTTTTGAAATAAAACCAACTGGTATTTTTGTAAAACGGGACCAAAACAAACAGTTAAACCAAAGTTGTGTGAAGTTGTCAGCTACTTCTACCTATACTGGCTCGCTACTCCAAATAAACTTCCCATCTGTTTTCAAGCCGCCATTTTTAAAAATAGTTATTTCTTGGTATGACCTTGTTTATCATGCACATTCTTTATAGACACAAAAGGAGAGCTAATTTTATTTAAAGGCAGTTAAGTCATCAAACATTTATGTAACGTCATTTTTACTATAATAACATTTTGAGCAGCACTTTGTCATAAACTTTTTTTAAAATTAGCATAATAGATTAGAATCTGAGAATTTTAAAGGATGTATAACTCCATTATAAACCCTGCAGTACGACCCATTAAAAATGAGAGATAAACACAGGCACCTGGTGGTAAACTTCCATATATAACGGCACATTCTAGTCCTCTGGCTTCAATCTGTCTGCTTATGGAGTAGATGTCATTCTTGCTGAAGCACACAATACAGTCTCCTGGTCTCAGGTTGTCTAACGACTCCACGGCATGATCCAAGACTGAGAACGGAGTCAAACGCTGATAGTTGTGGACCTGAAGGGCACAGATCGGTGACAGGGGAGCAGGGTAACAACAGTCAGGACAGAAACATGACACACATACACACACGTGTTTTTCTTTGGCTGGTGTCAGAGCCTCACCTCCACCTCCTCTCCTGTGGTGTACATCAGCTCTCTGATGAAGTCTACCGCTGCAGGTTCCCCGCACACGTGGATCTCCTCGGCACACAATCCTACAGCAACACACAGGACGGCAAGCAGAAGCGTTCAGTGATACTCGTCAGATCAGCCTCAGGCCAGATGTACCACGGTCAGCTGAGTCTGAGTGTGATACAAACCCAGCAACGCTCTGGTCCATGCCCACCCCCGAGAAAGATCTCTGATCATCTGAATTTCATCAATCACGGCCACCTCATCTACAGACGCATTGAAAAGGACAAAAGCGAATAAGCTCCAATCTCATTTGATGATTTATTTAATTCTACTGCTTTTTAAAAGGATTTTTATTATATTCATTTTTTGTATTTTATGTATTTTCATAATATATCTGAATACAAAGATATTGATTCTGAAACAAAACCCAGAGAAACAGCACATCGGGCGTCTGTTACTGCCACTCACAAGGTGTTGTGACGCTGCACATCTCGATGGTGCATGCCACATGTCCAGCTGCTCGACCGTCAGTGTCCACAAAAGTCCTCTCCTCCCCAGTAACCAGGTCACACGGCACTCCCTGCACACACATATAAAAAGACCAGCCATGAGTATTTTGACAGAGAATATGGCAGAGAATGAGACACAGACACAAATGGAAAGACAAGATGATATGAGATTAGAACCAGTGGTAAAATATATATACACAAGAGGCTTACTGGCGTTGTACCAAATACATATTCTATCATTGCACCCAAATCAGCCATAATGCCACGACTAAAACTTCACTGGATATGACAGATTTTGTGCCAACTCTTTTGAAGCAATAAAGAAATAAACGGTTTCTTCTTCCTAGATGAACCACATGGCTTCTGCACAATTGGATAAATCATATCACACAATAAACACCTTGAGTAAAGGGGAGACATCACACATGTTTGTAAGGGGGAATAACAACATGTAACATGGCTGCATCATCAACTTCAGAGCAGGGTCAGTTTAAAGCAATTCTATTTAAAGTTTTAAAGCTTTCAGAAAGATGGAATAATGATTCAGGTCTGAACGATTCCTGCAGGAAAACATATTTAATTCCATAGCGCTTATTTCTATCTTAAAAAAAGATAGATTTAAAGAGGCATAACCTTCGACATCTTCCTCATAACCTTATCTTTAATGTTCTACTTACAGCACTGTTGGTTTTCTCAAAGATTTCATGTGCCAGCAGCTTCAGAGGGCCACAGTAAACTCCAGATTTGGCAGCCAAGTAGCGCTGGATGGCATGGTAGGTTTTCCCACTGTTGGTGGGTCCAGAATGGAAGATAACCTTCCTCTGGATAGCACGAGCCTCAGGGTACCTGATGTACACACACAGGGAAGCTTCAACATTTCAGGGAGGTGTTGCAGTTGAGGTCAGACAGCAAACCTCAACATGACACATGTGGAATAACATTTGACGCTATGATATGCACCAGTTGGCCGGTACTCGGAGGTCTGAGATCTTTCTCAGGTCGTCCATACAGTCAAGCATGGGAAAGATTTGTTTGGCATGACGAATGAAGTATGGGTAGACATCATCAATATGGCCTGTTCAATGAAAAAACAAACAAACAGAAACATAATTTGTTACAAGTAATATATCAAATGTTCAAATGATTCAAACCTACATACCTGCTCCACAGCAGATGTCACTGAGGATGATATGGAGGTCAGCAGGAAGTGATGTCATTTCCAGAACGTACTTTCTGAAGCTGATGAAGGCCTGGTGGAAGAGACGAGCTGTTTGCACACACGAAGAAGACACAATTAAAGCGAACAATTTGAAAAGAGGTCTCTGTCAAATCACTGGAGGAGGTCTCCACCAACACTGCAGCGTAATACAAGTAATATTAAGTCATGTATGAGTTGAGTAAACGTCCTTATGCCCGCACAGTTGTTTTTGTAACAGCAAACATTGGACCAGGAACCCTGTCACCATTGTTTTAAACAACTAAACCATTAACAGTGACTGTGTATAACATAAAAGTTGTGAGAGAACTATGTTAAAGTGAAACCATTTACAGGTTATTTAAAAAAAGAATTTTCTCACCATCCAGACCCTGGTCTGCTGCCATCTTCTGCATCTCCTTTCGTTTGTAAAACCGGTTCAAAACTTTTAGCATTTCACCTAAATAACGAGCATAGAGAGCAGATATTCACAGCAATTACTTCAAACCCTGAACGTCACCTCAGTTTGTGAATCACATCAAACATGCTCCACACGACAAATACTTATTTTTTGGGTCATGTGGCAACAAGCGACCATGCCACTTATTAAAGCGCTACATGTCTCATAAAACCTCGATACAATCTGTGATGATTGTTCTCACTTTTATCGAGCGGCTGTGTCAGCTCGACTCCCACGCTGCCATCAGCCGGGGCATCTGTCTTAAGGGAGATGGGGACGAATAGAGAAGTGTCCGGAGGTTTGGCGGTTGAGCCGTTTGAAGAAACATTTCTGCAACAAACCAGGGAACCAGCCTGATGCTGTCTGAGTAACGGAATAGAGCCAGTGGTAGAACGACAGCTACCGGCAGTGATGCAAGTCGTTCTGCTGTTAATGTGGCGTTGAATGCGAGAAAATAAGTACGCACAGCGATTTACTGACATGGCTTCCGTTAGTTTGTATCCCCGGAATATATACCCTTTTACGCACGTAACGAAAACAGTCCCATTTACCCCACTGCCATTCAGCAGATCTAAATATTTGGATTACACACCACTAACTCTGGCAGAGGACGGTCAACACATTCTCTTCCTGCTGTCGTTACAACGTGGAAGAGGACCGGCCTGCCCACAAAGCTGCCTGCATAGAAAGTGAGCAGTAATTTTAAGTTGATTAACACATACAAATTACATTAATTTACATAAGCACAAGTTTTTCATGTAATTCAATTAGCTTAATATGTTACTTTGAAATATAAAAAAGGATGCGAAAATAACCAATTTCTAACAGGCATGAAAATGATACCTAGTTACTTGTTTTCGAAGATCGTAAATGCAAAAAAGTAGTTCACTTGTTACCATTTCTGCATACTGCTTGCAATGACCAGCAATCACAGTCAGTGATGATAAACTTTATTTAACCGTTTCCTCAGGTAAGAAAGACGTTTGTTTAGCTACAAACGTTTGTTTTTTAGATGAATCCTTATAGCCAGAGTTGTAGTGTTAAATTAGAACCACATTCACATAAAAGATGTCTGGGTATTGTGAGAATGACATTTCATTTATGTGTAGCAACTTTTACACAAATTGTGTTGAACCCTAAAGAGAGACAAAAAGACATTTAGAAAAAAAGGTCAATATAAATCTGCTTTATTCGACTCAATTTAGCTGTATATTTGGGTTTCGTGTATACAGTATATACACATCATCACACACTTACATACACACACACACACAAACAAAAAAAGCATGAGTAGACAAACATGCAGTACATAAGACACAGGCAGAGAATGGTGGGTTCAAAGTGTTTCATTACCATCTCTGACAGTACTGAAAAGAAAACCCAACAAAAACCAAACTAACTCAGACGAAATTGCTGTAACAGGCAGAGAAAAAATTCTGAAAAAATTAAAGCGCCGCTTGTGAATAAATTACAAAGCTTTCACACAATTGATATCCACACTTGGAGATTTAAAAAAAAAAAAGAATAGTGAAAGAACAAAGAAAACTTAACTGTAGATCTGATATTCAAACATTCATGAAATGCAACAGGGGGCCTTCGCCCGAACAGGAAAAAGACAAAAAGCACAATCATTTTACATTTGAAGCTGAATTAAAGTTTGTAGTGATGTAAAACAACAGTATATTTTCCATTGTCGACCCATGAGATCTGAGGTGATGTTGTCCTTGAGTGATGTTCAGTTCCAGCACCCATGCCCCTTTAATTAAAAGTTAAGCATTGGAGAGTGCAAACTGGCCGGAGATCAGAGCTAAAAGGCAAAAATCACACAGGACTGGCAACAGTGTCTTTAAAGCAGGACCTAAACTGTAGGTCTGAGCATCACAGTGGAACATTGTTTTATTTTACAGTAGATGGGAAGTACGTCCCTTCCAGTGCCTATAACAGAAGTCACAAACCGTTTTTTTGAAATTATTACTGAATATCTAAAACCAAAAAAAGACCCACCTCCCCGCCCCAATGAAAGAAAATGGCAAAAAAGTGTGAATTTAAAGTCTGCTGATTGTGGTTGGCAACCTGTGTGGAGATAACGGAACCATTATTTCAAGATTGAAGTGTGATCTCCCACTGCTGAAATTTTTATACAGCAAATTAAAGGGCCAATTCACCCAAATTACAAGTAGTTATTTGTTTTCAAAGTTTTACATGTTTTCATCCTCTGAAATCAAATAAGACTGAAAGATCCAACATGGGGCTTTGGGTCAGAGCAGCCACAGGTTTACAGAGACATCATAGCCAGCAAATGCATTTGGTGTGTTAACCCGACACACGTCTTCAGGGTGAAATCGTCCCCATGCCAGTAAATCTTCTACAGAAAAACTAAGTACATATGTATAATGCTTGTATTATGGCAACGGACAATTCAAATAACTGATGAATCAGCCTAAGGTAGATTATTTTGAAGATGCTTTGATGATCAATAAATATCTTGATTTTCGTTTTTTTCTAAACAATTACAAGCTGCATTTCTTGAATGACCAAATAATTAACTGGCAGTCTGCTGCAGTCTTAGATGATGATCTTAAATTATCTAAATGATATACGACAGAAATTATGCTCAAATTTTCATGCTTAACTATATCTTTAACTCAGTATAAATATATTATGACGAGAAATATTAAATGTAGGTTTGCATTTGTACTGAAGGCTGCCTTAAGCTATATTTAAATTACCCAGAAATTAGCATGGAAGGGTGATTACAAGAACCATTGAAACATACTTACAGTAATAAAAATGCTTTCCAAATGCAAATGTAAATGAGAGCTTCAAGTGAGGAACTGTTAATAAATACAGAGAATGTGTCAACTCATAGCTTCCTTGGTTCAGGCTTGTCTCTCACACTGTGGAAACTTCAGCTTCTGTCGGATCGCTCGTCCGGACTATAAAGCATCAGGGGTTGTGGGAGGGAAGAGTTGAGAGTCCAGAATTAGTGCTGTTAAGAAGGCAAACGAAAGAAGCTCCTGCAGAAAAAAAGATCTGATGCTGTGGTCTGCAGCCATGTTGTCAGTCTTAGCTCCTGTTTCATATGGAATTCAGCAAACTGAGACTGTATGGCTTCACGTATGTGTGCTCAGGTAGGATTTTAGTCCAAGGAGCCAGGATTAGATCGGTCGACTCACTGTTCGTCACTTGGGTCGTTTCATTTTGCCTTGACATGTAGCATTCAGTGGACTGGTATTGCACGCATCTGTATGCAGTATGACAGTTTCTGGGGGGGGGGGGCAGCTCGCATTCGAAGCCGTGCTGTGTTGAGGAAGATTGCTGAGGGTAAGTTATGTGTTTTGTATATGCATTTTCAAAGACATTTCTCAATCCATGGAGACAGTGGGGCAGTTCCCATGCCTCTGGCTGCTCATTGGTGAAGAGCTGTGATGCGTCTGTGGGTGTTTTCAGTTCATAATCTGGCCTTTACATCTCTGGCTGCTCCGCACTGACCGACTGGCTTCGGGACTCGGGGGACTCGTAGCGTTGGTGGAAGTTTCTTTTTCTCAGCTTCTCTGGAGCTTTTCTCCACAAAACAATCTCCTAAACACAAAGGGAGGGGACAGAATGAACGAAAATGTACCATCATACCATCAACGTGTGCAATGATACGCAAAACGTAGGGTAGCCTAATATTCACCTGAAGGACACCCAGACAAATCAGACATGACGAGTAAACTAAAAAAGGTTTTGGGCAGGAGAATAAAATATAGACTGTCTGAAAAAGTGAACTACAACACAGACTAAAGCATGCAAGTGGCTTCAGTTGTTTAAGTGAATAGTTTTAAAGCAAATGTTCTATCATAAACTGTTCAGGTAGGATAACGTAACACTTCCTTAATGAAATGCAAAGGCTTGAATGTTTACATCAGGCTAAGATAAGGAAGACCTGGTCAGAAAATAATGCAGAGCCCATAAATCTGAATGAGCATTGATAGTTTTGGGTTCTCACCGGGAAAAAAATACATAAAAGATAAGTATGTGTGTCACTGACTGACCTGCTGTTTAAAGTATCTCCGGTCTTCTTCATCTACCAGCACCAGATTAAGGAAATAGCGCACAGAAAACTTCTTGTTCACATCTCTCATAGTGGGTGTCAAGTCATATCCTGTAAGAAATCACAAAATGATATTACTACTGGACAGCAGTGGAGAGAAACATGTTCAGATAACACATGTTAAAAAGGAGGGAAGCTGTTACCAGCCAGGAAGAGTCTGATTGGAATAGACTCTCCTTTAACTGGAGCACCATCCATGATTTCATACTTTGCAACCGTTTCTGTCTCTGTGGTAGTACTGGGACCTAAAAAGAGGACAACAATATCCTAAGTGAGTGGGACAAAAGATGATAAAGTTGAGCAAAGCTGAGGACTTCCATAAGTTTATCAGCAGCTCATGACATTAAAGACAAGTCAGAGAACTGCAGTTGAAATCTTCAAAGATGATGAACCACAAATGCATTTACCCAACATGTGTTAATATAGGTCATTCTATTTTTTATACAGGGACTGCTGAAGGTTCTTACCTATGCCCGTTATCTCCTTTTTGATGAGCTGTAGCTCCATATGTTGGATCTTGATCCTAACCAACAAGAAGTAAATCTTCCCAACAATTACATCTTTCAGGTGGTATCTGACAGAATCAAGAAATGCATCTCAAAAGGACATACAAAGTAGAGCTTAAATCAAACAGTTTTTTTTTTCTTAGGAATCTATCTTAGGAAACTGTAACCACATTTATCTTACTTGGATTTATTGTACTCAAACTCAATGTGAAGACAGTCTTCGATGCCGACCTCCATCTTGATTGAGTTGTTAACATCTGGGTAGGTGGCTAACTGGTGGACAATCAACTCATATTCTTTCACCAAATCAGACAGACGACGGACTATTGTCACCCTGAGGAAATATCTACAAGAAAAACACATCAAAGGGCTATGACCAAAGGTTACTGGCTCTGCAGCCACACAAAAACACAAAACAAGATTCCAAGACAAACCAAATATGGAATCCCAAAGGGAAAACTTATCTTGAAAATATCTAAAGACAGAGATTATTTGGTCAACACTGCAACTCGGCTGGACGATCTCCTTAACCCATTCCTGCAGGTCTGCATACTATTCATAACAACATGTTTTTCGGTCTCCAACATAATCATCTCATTCCATCCACTTCTACTGGAGTAAGAGTGCAAGATAACCTAGATTTGTTGTTCCCTACAGAGAGGCTGCCACCACAAAGGACACTCCCATGAACCTCAACTACACTGTAGATGTGGAAATGCATTTCCAGTCCAAAACATTAAGAGAGAGATGAGTGCACAGCCATATGGAATTTGTACCGTAATTACTGCCGACATGTATTTGAGTTTACCTTAGCCTGACATTGGCTCCAGTGTAGGACTCATAAGGCTTCTCCACCTGCATGAACTCAAAGTCATAGCTTCTGTTCTGGGTGAGCTCTCCGGGTAAAGCCAGCTCTTTTACCAGGTCCACAAACTCATGGGTGTTGCTCTTATCAGAAAACAGCTCTGAAATATAGAAGCAGGGATTAAGATTATACATTCTTCTTAAATCCCACATAACTGAAGAAACTGTTTAAACAGTATACAAGTTAAATATACTTTTGTTTCAGCATTTCATGCTCTCTTTGGTCACTGTCAGACTCTTAAACCCTCAACTGCCAAGTAATGCTGGAGGAGGGCTTAGAGCTCATATGACAGAGCACATGATGAAAACATGTCCCCATAAACCTTTTCGCTACATGAGAAACCCAGTAGCAAACTGCTGGAACACAGGCAGAGGTTATTCTTGATACCATCCCTTCATGTTACTTGACATTAGTGACAGCACTTATTTGCACCATTTCAGACAAACTCACCAATCTGTCCAACAAACTCGATGCGGATGCCCTGATGCTCCAGCCGCTTGCCTCCCTGTTTCACATTAAGATTCACCTAGAGATACATCATAGGATATTTAGGACCATTAGGATGTAAGTAGGGCACATTCTCTGAAGAACCAGGAGCTCAAAGGTGAAATAATAATTGGACAGGTGGTAAGATCACTTATTGACAGATATGTACACTGTTGATCAAAACATTATTGATTTTTAAATAATTCCCTGAAGCCTTTCCCTGAAACCTCCTGGAACTTTGGTGACCGTTAAAATAGTCGGAGACCAGCAGACATAGCCATAAGGCCATAATGTCCTGGCTGAATACAGTGCACTGCTAATGATATCTAGATCATATGAAAAATCACCTATTATGTGTGTCAGAGCCCAGACTGACCCATGGGGACGTCTGGCAGAGGCCTATGAACTAAGCAAACACAGGTTTACCTTGCCAGACACAGATTCTCCGTCATAGAACAGGTAGTGTTTCTCAACTTTCCCATCTTCTGTCTTCAACTCAGCGGTCTTTCTGTTCTCTGCATCATTCAGCAGAACATCTATTTCACATACCGGCCCAAACAAACCTCCAAGGAAACTCTGGAAGCACAAGCAAAAAATAAATAGATAAAGCATATTTCCGATAATGGGTCAAAGTAAAGAGCAAATACTTTGTGTTAACAACTGAGGCAAAAAAGCAGGTTGGACAGGAGGTAGATGGACCTCTCAGTTCCTGGGGACTTTTCATGCCTCAACATAAAAAGAGTTCCTTTAATCACCCAGTGAGACATTACAGGCTAATAATAATTAACTGTAGGTGGGATGTCAGTTTGATTATTAAGGAATGAGAACAGCTTTATTAGGGATTTGGCCACATTTATACATACGCATACTCAAAGTTGCGAACAGTTAAAAAGTTAGAAAGGAGAAGGCATCAACTAATTATATCACATGACTATTCTTATGCCTGATCTCTTGACCGAACGGTTTGTGCTATAATCCAAGCATCACACCTACTCAACAATGAGAGTTAAAGCATAATGCTTTTGGGAATTCTCCTAAAGTGCACTGAAATGGAATTGACCAAAGTTGACTCCTCTTCTTAAAGTAGGCCTATTTAATTCCAGAATGTGAACATCGCTGTCCTAAATACAGTTTAATCCCCCGTTGACATATAGAAGTTCCGTAGTTTTCAACAAATTTTTTTTTTTTTAGGATTACAGTGACCTAAAAATATGTACAATCTAAACCAAAGGAAGGAGCCTAAAAAAGGCCTATCATGGTGATGGGATGATTGATTAAAAATTCAAATAAAAAACAGATAGCTTATTATATGGCCATTTGTTTTTGCAATATCTACATCACATTTCTGTTTACAGTGAGGAAATTGCAAATGTTTGTTATGAACCTGTGATGCTTTCTCGTTTATAAAAATCTAAACTTCGAAGTTTAGTCACTCACTCCCCACGGGTGGGAATGATGGGTGTGCACTAGCACAAAGCGGAGAGCTTGTAATGGCCATTTCCACAATAACATCAATCAAGTGTGTGCAAGGGGAAATTATTTCCCTGTGAACTGGTTAGGAAGTCATTAAGACATGCCTCAACACGCTGGAGCTGAAAATTAGGAAGGGCACGAGCAAAGGCGTGGGGATGTCAGGTGAAAATCAACCCAGCCAGCTGCACACAACTAACTAGCATAGTCAACACAACACTTCACTACACCTTTGTTGAGTAAAAACGAGTATTATGAGAAGAGTCTTTCTTAAATCGATGAGCAAACAAAGCTATGAGGGGGATTGGAAGAGGCTGCTGCAGGTTTTCAACGTTCATGTGACGCTAAAACTTCCCATTACATTGAGCTAATGAGCACCGTAAGCTAAAACTGACATTTCAAAATCCTGAAGTTGGCTTCATTTGCTCCAATACATATAATGTAATTACTGCGGGTATAAATCACCTGTAGAAATTGCTATCACTTTTCAAGCCATAACCGCTGCTTTGCTTGCAAGCCGCATTTGAGTAACGGCCTCTGATTGATGCTAATTAACCCAGCCCAGCTAGCTTATTGGTGTAAGATTTAGATGTATAATATCATTTTCCAGGGGTATCCTAAAGACCCTAGTAACGCTTACTAAGTGAGGTTTCTTGTTAAAGATTAAACAGTT